ACATAGTATTGTCAAAACCTAGGACAAGGGCTACTCTTCAGTGGTTGTCGGTCCCCTGAAGCAGAGCCTGAGCAAAGATTTGAGTGCAGGTGGTTTATCTGGGTGGTTTATTTGCAGAAACACCAAGAATGAGGGAGGAGAGGGAAAGAGGAAGAGAAGGCAGCCAATGAAGGGAGCTCTCTGAGCCCGTTCCCACTCTGGGCGACAGCAGAGGAAGCCTGCTGGAGAAACCCAGGGAACCAGTATACATATGCTCTCAACAGGGGTGGGGAAAGGACACCAGCTCCCAAGAGTTACTGCTAACGGACACACCTGGGGCACTCATCCCTGTGCAGTGGCTGACCTGCGGCACACATGGACAGCTGACATTGGCAATCAAAGAAAGGCTTCAAAGAAATATTGGTGCTGGCATTTGAAGCGAGGGCGGCCAGCCCTGAGGAGGTGAGCGTGAAGGGGATACGCACTGACAAGAGGCAGAGTCTACCACAAAGGTTTCTTCTTCACCTGAAACAGACCTTGCTTGTACACACGGGTGGAGGAGGGGGGTTGACTTCCTCCACGGTTTCCCTGAAATGGCAAATCAGAGAAAGTGATAAACTGAAGTCCAAGCAGAATAGAAAACTTCCCCATTAGGTTCCTGGCTTTCATACTTTTGGACATTTGAATTTCTTTCCTGGAAAAAAACCAAAACCCATAAGGAAGTATCTGATGTTTCACAGTGTAAATAGTAGTACCACATCTACATCATCATCTCACTGAACTCTCAGAGTAGCCTCATGAAGTAAGGGATGTCTTCTTTTGTCCCTCAGACTTCTAGAACATTCTAAACCCTATGACGGAAACCTTGCATGTTTGAAACTCGACTGAAGTTATAGGTCTGAGAGAGCAAGGAGTGACTCAGACTCAAAGGACTTCCAAGAGCAAAGGTGTTTCCTGAAGGTGGGGGGAGGGGTGGTGGCTTTCCCGAGGGACTTCCTTCTAATTGTGAGGAAGTGGGAAGAGATAGATTACGGGGAACAGGAGCAGGAGACAAACTCCACTGGGATCCGGGCTTGTCAGGAGCTGTCACAGCAGCAGCTGGGTTTTTTGGTACAGGAAGCAAATCAGAAATCCCACGGAACTTCAGCCCACAAGAGGCCTCTGCCTCACCAAGGACATTGCAGAAACATGACATTGAGGACCTTATTCTCTGTTAACAGTACTGCAGTTGAATGCTAGGTATGCTCACTTATTTTCCAGAGCACAGACTATTTCTGAGGAAGCATATTTCCTGCAGGAATAGTTAAGTTCTGATATTTGCCTTTAAAAAATTTTTTTAAAGTGTTTATTTTTGAGAGAGAGGGAGACAGAGCACGAACAGGGGAGGGGCAGAGAGAGAAGGAGACACAGAACTCGAAGCAGGCTCCAGGCTCCGAGCTGTCAGCACAGAGCTGCACACCGGGCATGAACCCATGAACAGTGAGGTCATGATCTGAGCCGAGGTCGGATACCCAACCAACTGAGCTACCCTGGCGCCCATTATATTTGCCTTTTGAATGGACAACATGCCAAGCTTCATCACCAGATACACAGCTCCATTCTACCTGTCCAGGAATGCATGTTCCCTGAGTATGAAATGATTGAAAGGTTACTGATTAATTGCAAAAGCCTTTTGAGCAAGGGCTGGTTTAATCAGTAAGTGTGTGCTGTGCTATCTGTGTGTTCAGGAAGACCGAAGCACTGCAGAAAGTTCTGGTCCTTCGCTCTCTGAAACTCTCAATTCTCATCTTATCAAGGACTCAATGTAGAGTAAAAGAAACCACACATTCAAAATTTATGGGGAATAAAACCTTCTGGCAGCGGAAAGGTACACTTCACATTCTGAGGTCATAGCAGTCTTTATGAACAAAGGAGAAAAACATTTTCAGTAAATAGTATCCATCATCTCAGGATCCTGCCCTCTGAGAGACTAATTATTCCTTACTCTGAGGATGATTAACAGAGATATTCCAATTTTGTCTCTCCTTTCCACACTCAAGCTGCAGACACTGTGCTAGAATTTTACTGCTGAGGATTTAAGTTATATTGTTTGGCAAATTACGAAAGTGGAAACATGACGTAAGTGTCACCTACCACCAGTGCTAGTATTACCATCATTCATGAAAAGAAAAAAAGAGTTTCCTTTTTGGATATCTCCCATGGGGGGGGGGGGCAGGGGATGAGGGGGATGGGGGCTCAAACTTCTATCCGTTTAAGCGCTGGAAATTTTGCCTCAGTGAATCTTTGTTGAAGTTTCACTCACAAAGAAATCAAACTTATAAGATGGAGGAGAAAGAAGTCCCTGGCTGCCCGAGAGCTCGGTACATTCTTTGAGCGCTCGGAGGAGTGCCTTGCTCCTTTCTGGAAGTTGGTCTAAGGCTTGCGCTGGTTTGGAGCTCTCTGAAAGGGACACATTCTGCAAACCTGGCTGTCTGGGGCTTAGTGTGGCTCCATAGGGACAAATGATAAGGCTGCCCATGTTTTAAGTCTTAGGGTGTTGTGCAGAATCACCCAGCAGAGCCTGAGCAGCCGACCACACATTTCCAGGTGCCGTGATTGCAGCTCCAATGAGCCCGGAGCATAGTGGCTGTCTCTGAGCTGGCTTGCTCCAGCAGCCGCTCCTTGTTGAAGACCAGGGGCAGATGTTGGTGACTTTACGTGTGGTGGCATCAGACCCCAAGCCCAGTTAAAAAAGATTTGAATGTAAGTGGATATATAACCTTTTAGGGAGAAAAAATGTGGCAATAGCTCACCACAAACATAAAAATGTTCATATCCTTTGACCTGGTAGTTTTACTTCTAAGAATAAGAAAATGAGGACGTTTATAGTCCCTGCTGGATTCATTTTAGTGTTGCTTATAATTACAAAACGTTGAAAAAACCCAGCTAAGTGGTTGGAGGCTGGTTAAACACATTGTGATAAATTCATTTGATGGAATGTTCTACAGTCAAAGACCTGGGAAAATTCACCATATAGTTTTTAAAACCATGTAAAAATATATAATTGCAGTTCGTAAGGAAATGCATGTGCATTTAAAAAGAATATAGGGTGTCTGGCTGGCTCAGAAGGTTGAACGTCCGACTCTTATTAATTTCGGCTCAGGTCATGATGTCACAGTTCGTGAGATGGAGACGCTCGCTGGGCTCTGCACTGACAGCACGGGGTCACTGCCCTTCCCCCCCCAAAAAAAACCTAAATAAACTGTAAAACATTTTTTAAAAATAAAAAAATATATAGACACATAGGGGCGCCTGGGTGGTTCTGTCGGTTAAGCGTCCGACTCCGGCTTCGGTCATGATCTCATGGTTCGTGGGTTTGAGCCCCGTGTCGGGCTCTGTGCTTACAGCTAGCTCAGAGTCTGGAGCCTGTTTCAGATTCTATGTCTCCCTCTCTCTCTGACCCTCCCCTCCTCATGCTGTCTCTCAGAAATAAATAAAACATTAAAAAAATTTATTAAAAAAAATATATATAGACATATAACTAAGACCTACAGATTTCTGAGTGATGAGCTATGGGCGATTTTTATGCTTTTCTGCATATTCTGATTTTTCTATAACGAATATATGTGCCAGTTGTATTCAACACAATAATGCTATTTAGAAATGGTTCTACTTCTATGCTGGCTTTAAGCCATCATTTGTAAGAAAGAATCTGGCCTTTCTGGGGCTAGCATCGACTTACCTAAAGTTGGAGAGCTGAGGGGGCTGGGAGACATGAGTCCCTGCAGTAGGGAGGGCAAAAGCAGGGGCTTGGCCGGGGGGCGGGGAGGGGGGGGCAGGGGTGGTGGGTGGTGTTGCAGAAAGGAGCTGAGTCAAAGTTCTCTGTGGGGAAGTGAGATCACTTCCCACACGGAGGGAGGGGAATGTCAGCATGTTCTGTCCAGAGCCGATGTCCTCTGCCATGAGGTTACTGCCAGTGTGACAAAAACTCAACCACCCTTGTACTGAGAAATGCGGTCAAGAGGTGCCCTGCAAGAGGCTAAAGGAAGCGGCCCATGAAGGCGCATGCACGACTGCTTCCTAGTCACCTGATGTCCCTGAAGTGACTGTTCAGAGAGTCATGCTGTGCTGTTGGCCTTCTCACCGCACAGGTCCCATCTTCCCCTGAACCAGAATGACACCAACTGCAGACCTCTCATGAACTGGCCAGAGCCGGCCACTAGTGCGCCTACTGTCCCCACTTAGCCTCTTAAACCGAGGTCAGCCCAGGTGGTAAGAGACTTTGAGCCAGGACAAAGACACCAGTGATAATATCTGTATACCACTTCATAGTTTACAAATAATTTCCTTGATGGTTGAGTTGAGCACTGTAAATATTCCTTTCAGAAAACACACACTGACAATCTGAGAAGAGGCATGCTGAGGGCTTTCTGTTTTCCACTCCATCTGTGACACTCCCTGCTGCCTTCTGGTGGCTGGGATTGTACTCAGAAAAGGCAGATGGACTGTTCTTCAATCTATTACAAAATGGAAGGACAACCAGTGGTATTAATGAATGTGTCGCCCTTTTATAACGAATCTAGGAGGCGCTCATGAATAATCAGCACTAATAAAGAACTTTATAGATTCAATTCGATGAACACCAGGAAGCCAGAAGGGAGAAACACCCACTTAGCGTGGTTAGTGCCAAGAAGGGTAAAATGGATACTCTTCATGAAGACTCAGTCTGGGTGGTAAATACCTGATAAAGTTTCCATTTGAAAGTCAATGTCTTCAGAAAACACATAACTTAAGGTCAAGTTAACTCAATCGCTGAGTCAGCACAGCATCGCTAAGGCCTACCAGCCAGCCTCTGTTGAGTACCTCCTGTGATGGGGAACTTGCTATCTCTCCTGGAGAATATTCCATGGTTGCATAGACATGGTTGTTAGAAGGCATGCCCACAGGACTGTAGTGTGATGGCCTAAAGAGCACTGAGTTGAAGAGTATATGGCTCCATTTCAGAGGTGGAGGGCAGGTAGCTGTAAGGACACCACATAGGATTACCATATCCAACGTTTAGATTTATTCTTTTTCTTCGGGGGGACAGATACTATGTAGAAGACACAGAAATGTTTACATAGCCTTCTCCGTTAGGAAGAGTGGTGCTGGGTAATAATATTGGTCTAGTACATGTCTCATTGTTTTGTAGATTAAATAGGAAGCAATCCCTCCTTCCTATTGACTTCTGTTAGCTTGCGATGCAAAGAGAGTTTCTGCCCTCAAGGAGTTGATAATCAAAATCTAGACCTGGTTGGTAGCAGACTGTATGTGGGAAGCCAAGGGGAAATATAGGTTCATTAATCGGTTTGTTAGTAATTTACTATTTTATGAATATTGTGTGTCTCCCCAGTTGGACTGCATTTTCCTTCAGGGCAGGAATTGTTTCTTCTGCCTGATTGTATATCCAACATTGAGCACCCACAGCACCACACCAGTCTGGGCTTCATAATTATCTGTAGAAAACTGTGTTGTGGGTAGCACACTGAACAGGTGCTGAAGAAATAGTATGATTAACAATGGCCAGCAAGCCATTGGTTTAATGCTAATAAAACATCCTAATTTAAAGAGTACACGGCATTTATTTATCCCCATTAAGTTATAACCCCATAACACATGTAAATTTTTGTGTTTTTAAAGTGCTTTAAAAGATATTTATTTTTTTAACAGGTGGAAAATAATGTCCTTTAAAAGACATTTAATTTTTAGTGGAAAATGGCATTACCAAAAGCATGTAACAAGTGTTCATCACCTTTAAGACGTGGGATTTTTATAAATACACTGTCTGAGAAACACTGAGTAACACTAAGTGCCAAAATGATGGGTGTGTATGGTCAGAGTACAAAATTCGACATGCTATTAATCTCATCTGGATGGTGTCTTAAGTCAAGAATGATCTCGAGCAGAGACAGGGAGGTATGTTGGGTAACTGTGCTTTTGAAGGTGACTTCCCTTGCTGTGTGCTAGGCTTGCACTAGTGGTCAGGACAGCCATTCAGACTGACAGTTCCCTGGACGGCCACGGCTTCAGTGACAGGGATAGGAATGTGGTTGACTTGAATATTCTTCAGACAGCCAAAAAATGATTTCCACACAGGGAGTGTCAGGGTCTTCAAATTGGCTTAAAGAGAAAAGGAGAGGCATTCAGTAGATAATTCATACTGTTAAGTGAATGTGCCCAGTTGAAAAAATAGTCTTATTAGAGCTAAAGGGACTGAGGACCTCAGGCCACCTGGTCACCTCCTCCTTTGAACTGGCACCCCACACCCCTGCCTCTTGTGATAAATCACCGAGAATCACCAACAATCCTGCTCCTTGTTGTAGCAAGAGTAACTTGCTACTTACTCTTCAAGTTCTTCAAAGAAGCAAATTCCACAGCCCAAATCAATAGATAATAGCTCTGAACGCTGGTGCTTTTTATGGGTCATGGAAGACCTATAAAATTAATAAACTATTCAGAGGAACATAAAACAAGGAAGAATGACAAGGCTCTTTCCAGGCAAAATTCCAGAACCTGCCTATTTCTCCCATTCTGGCCCCGCAAAGCTTAATAACTCATCAGTAAAACCAAATGTCTGGAGAGGAGAGACCAGTTTCTTAGCCCCTTTCCTGATTCTTTGCTGGTATCAGCCTCTTAAGAGAGGCTTATCAATGATAGACTTGGGACATGAAAAGCAGCAGTAATGTGGCCTGGGCTGTACAATGTGCCCATTGCTACCAAGTGGGTTTTCTCATGTGTTGGAGCAATGGGCCTCACTGTCTCCATTGTCCAGCCAACAGTTGCCCGGCTAATAACCCACAGCTGGGGCATTGGATTTGTTGGGTTAAGATGGAAATGTTAAAAGCTGACGTGGGGCAACATGGGTATAGAAGTCGGGACAAGAGTTACCTGGAATGCCTCCAATGTATAGTGGCTCCTGAGTGCTGGATGGTGGGAAGGGGAGCCGTCCAGCTGTGTAGCTGTTTTCTGTGTCCAGTTCCAGGTGCAAGATGTATTGTTTTATGGTGACTGGTGGGAAAGAAAGTTGGTCAGGTTGATTACCTGAGGAGAGCCCTGCCCGATGTTTAACGATTACACTAGTGCTTCACCACAGGCTTCATTTCAACTCATTGCTGTGGGAACACTCCCGGTAGGAATTCCATGAACCTAGACACAAATTCAAACTAATTTCTCAACACTAAGTGGTATTTAGGTGCTTCCACATACATTACAGAATTTAATCCTTAAAATGAATCTGTGAGGAAGATATTTTCACTTTTCTTTCCGAGATAAGGGGTTGTGACTCTCAAGTATTGAGGAGCCTGACAAGACGGCTTGGTTAGAAGTCCAGCTGCTGTCTTCAGAGGCCATCTTTAGTTCACGTGATCTTAGCTACCTTCCAGGGAGACGCTGACTTCTGTAAACTGAGTCGCTTTTGACGCTCCAAATAAAATTCTTCCAATGTTAACAATCTTAACTAACTGCAGGGTAGTTAGCATTCAAATGAGATAAGGGACTACCTTCTTCTTTTTTAAGAAAAGGTATTTTAGCCAATACAGTTTAATATATCACCAAACTAATGTGCGCAAGTTATTCATAAAACAGCAGATTTGATTTGGTAGGCGATGTCTAATCTCCTCCCAATGGTTTGTCTAAATCGTTTGCAGTAATATTAAATGGTTGTTGAAAACAACAACCCAACCATGAACTTGAACAATAGCAAGAGCAAACACTTACTGGGCACTTACTACATATTGGACACTGTTGTGCACTTTACATGCATTATCCCATTTGGTTTTCACCACCCTGGGAGGTGTACACTATTTTTATCTCCATTGTGCAGAAGGGGAAACTGAAGATACACAGCAATTAAGTGGCATGCCCAAGGTCACCGAGGTAAGGGCCAGAACGGAGATGTGATCTTTGTTCCTTTTGATTTCAGAGCCAAAATCTAAATCATAATGTTATACCGGCTTGAAAACACAGATGATCAGTTTTCTGAGCTCAAAAAGAAAATTCTCTGTATGTTACAGAGAATAGGCTGCAGGAGCCATGAGTTGCATAAATACAGCTGGGGCTGAAAATGGACATGTTCTCACCATGTTAGTCTGGTGGACTGAGCCCGGTCCTACGCTAATGGATTGATAAACTGAGGCTGCATCTAGTACATTCAAATCCAGATGGAAAGGGACGCTGTCACCAGGGTGTGAACAACAGGCCACAGGACATCCTACCTGTCACTGAGTGCCACCGCCCATCGCACAGAGACTGCTTTGGTGTGACCGATGTCAAGATCCCCCCTGCTTCACTGTCCACAGAGGCTGTGACCTGCAAGACACATGCATTTTCCTGTTTCCTTCAGCAAGGCTGTGGAGCTCACTTCCCTGCCTTCCTCCCTTCCCAATGCTTGTCACCCCAACAGCCCTGAAGCACCTTAGACATGGCCCCTCCCTCCCACACCTGGTGATCACATTAGGGCCAAGGCTTTGTAAGAATCTCTGCTGCGTCCAATCCAGGAAGCAAGCTGCAAACCCAAGGCCAGGCCTGACATTGCTGTGAAAGGTGACGAGCTCTTCCCTCCCAATCCAAACCCTTCCTCTGTTAGACTCTACTCAAAGGTCACTGAGCAGCACTGAAGATCTTCTTCAAGCTATTAATACACGACCGTGACCGTGGTTCTGTTTAGAAGGATGCAAAATTTGGAAGGCAAAAATGCTAGCTGAGGCCTATGCCTTGCTGTGAGGGCCAGACAATTAGAATAATTCATGAATGCATGCCTTAGGGTTCTTGTTCAAGGTATTTAGCAAGCTAACAGACTGTGATGGTACTGGGCTTGTGTCAGGGGTCAGGCGCTCATGCTCATGTGTAGCATCCCACATTCCCACTCTCTGGACCAGTGCCAAGGGCTGAACCAAGGTGAACAAATACCAGGGCTAAAATAAGCGACTTGGTATCTAATTTGCATTTAATTTGCATGTCGCTAGACAGCAAGGCCAATTCTCAGGCAATTTTCCAGCTAAACAATGTCACTGCTGTTATGAAGGTCATCGGGTCTTGATTCCTGCCTGTGTGATTATTTCCTCTCCAGGATCTCTCCTGGAGCCCCACCCCCACCCCTCCCCTGAAAAACCAGCTTTCTCTCCAGGCCAGCAAGCACGCAGTTCTTGCTCTTCTGGCCTACCAGAGGCCTGCTGAGACTTAAAGGCTGCACCTCAGATACAATGTGCTCTAGGAGTCTGGGCCATTATATTTCCTTCTTTAGTTTTCCCCTCACAGTTTATAAGCTGTGGAAGGGTAGAGGTAAAGGAGAATGGCATATTATGGCTAAATAAAAGATCACAGGCTCAAAATGGAGCCACTACAGCCAACTCGCCAAACCAGTGCTTTGTATCTAACCCAACTGAAGTTTCCACCTTATATATCAAAAAATACAGTCTTGATAGATCAGTCAGGAATTTTCTGAACAGTACCAATTACCTAACGTGTCCTATGGGACTTCTCCATTCCCCACCCCCCCCCACACACACCGAGGAAGGCAAGGTAATCTACCTAATAAGACCCCCTGCCCTTCCCCTAAATGGAAGGTAACCTTGCCTAGAACAGTCCTTTCTTTTCTTTTGCTGATGAGTTCCTTGCTCCTGCCGCCCCATCCTATAAAAACCTTCCATCTTGTACAACTTCTCAGAGCTTCCCTCTGCTTGCTAGACAGGAGGCTGCCTGATTCATCAATCGACTAATAAAGTCAATCAGATCTTCAAATTTATTCAGTTGAATTGCTGCTCTTTAACACTATCGCTCTGCCTTGAGGCCTTCCTGGAACGATTTGGTTTTTAAAAGAGTTTCTGAAAAGGAAAGAGATATAACCAGGTGGTGAAACTAGGGTATTGACCAGGCCCCTGAGGGATGGCAGGATGAAGCGGCAGCAGCGTGCACTGAACGAGGGGTCCATGTAAAGCCAAAGGAATCTCCGAATGGGAGACCTGGGCCCAGCTTGGCTGCTGAGACTAGAGAGGCTGGTGAGGGGTATAGGGAGCAGAAGGGAAATCTGCAACTGATTCAGTGGACACCAGGCGGTGGGCATGGGGATGACATGGGGCAGACAGCTAGTGAGAACATCATCTCATGAGTTTTGGTGCTGCCCTTATGAATAAAAGTAGAAATGTGACAAGGGTGAAGGGGAGGAGAGAAAAAGGAGCATTTATTACGTATAGGATAGTTTCTATTCTCTTGTCAAAAGCCCTAAGATATAATCATTATTATCCACATTTTAAAGATAAAGAGAGAGCCTGAAAGAGCTGAAGTAACTTCTCCAGGGCTATATAACTATGTGGTGCAGTTAGAATTCAGCCCAAGATGATGAATGGGAAACATAATGACCAAATGAGTTGCTAAAGGAAAATAGTAAGTTAGCCCTCATGTCAGGTCTCTCTTTTTTTTTTTTTTTTTTTGGGAGAGAGAGAGAGAGACAGAGAGAGTACAAGAGGAGGAAGGGCAGAGAAAGGGACAGAGGGAGAGAATCCATACTGCCAGCACAGACCCGGGACTCAGGGCTCGAATCCATGAAGCTGTGAGATCATGACCTGAGCTGAAACTAAGAATCAGATGCTTAACAAATGGAGCCACCCAGGTGATTCTGAAGTCAGGTCTCTTAAAACAAGATTGGATCCCACTCTGTCACAACTCCACCTTCTGTGGTCTCCAGAAATGAATGTGGTTCTAATGTAAACCCATAGATTACACACACACACACACACACACACACACACACACACACACACACCTGCACCTCCTCCATCAAACTGTACGTACGTACCTTTCCTGCCTCCATATAAACACACAGGTGCTTCCCAGGCTGACTTCCAATGTGCATTAGAATGCCAGTGAGGCTTCTTGGGCGAATGCTGAAGACTAGCTTAAATTCTGGCCCCAACAGCACAGAATTAGCTTTTAAAAGAAAATAAAAAAGTTAAAACATCATAATTCAAGAAAAAGGGTGGAGTTCTTCAGACTCAAAGACATAAACTCTTCCAAATTGCCCCTTACCTAGGATGATATGACCTCCTTCTTGAGAGAAATAAATGCCTTTCTCCAAAGAGCCACCCAAGCACGGGGACACAGCGACACTTGCAGAAATGGTGTCCAGGGGTTTAAGATTCAACTGAAAGTTCCTCAGGCAGCCCACAAAGCTGTTTTGGGGGAGGCTCTGCAACCAAGCAGAAGAGAAAGCAGACTTTATTAGGCCACAACTCCCAGAGACACATGGGCAATCAAGGTTAAGGGCAGGGCAACTGTCTGCATAAGGGGGACGGTGGAGGGGAGTGGGATTCATCCATCCTCTTTCAGGGAGTCAGGTGGGCCTGACTGTTGCATTTAGCTCCCTGCTCACACTGCCAAGAAAAACCCGGATACCAGACGTCCAGTGGGTGGCCGAACTTTGAGGATGAAGTTTGAGTGCACCAAGTGGTATGGTGCAAGGGGCAAGGGCAGTGGAGGTCACTAGCTAGGGCCGGTCAGTGACCAGACCCTCGTCCACATGGACAGGGCTACAACAAGGGACATTTCCACCTTCCGGTGTACAGATCTCACTGCCTCTTTGCAGGTACAAACCACTTCTTATAGTTTCATGAGCCTATGCGATTGCTTAATGCAGGGCAGCTGACTGGAAAAGAGGCCAAAACATTCCAAAAATAATAAAGTGCAAAAAAGCTTCCTAAATTGTTGGGCTCAGCGCACCACCAACAAATCATGACTGCTGTGGAGTTAAAATAAGACACAAGGCACAGCCCATCAGCGGGCATGCGTGGAGCGCCTGAAGGTGGCCTGGAACAAGGGCTCCTTACGTGGGGCCCGAGGGTGCACTTCCAGGGTTCTGTGATCTCTTCAGTTACATACCAGGTGTTCTGTGTGTGTGCATTTTCCTGGGGAGAAAGACCAACTTTCCTTTCTAAAATTTTTAAATTCTTTTAAATTTAGTTTTGAGAGAGAGACAGAGACAGAGCGTAAGCGGGGGAGGGTCAGAGAGAGAAGGAGACACAGAATCTGAAACAGGTTCCAGGCTCTGAGCTGTCCGCACAGAGCCCTATGCAGGGCTTAAACCCATGAAACTGCGAGATCATGACCTGAGATGAAGCCAGATGCTTAACCTACGAAGCCACCCAGGCGCCCGGAAAGACTGTAACTTTAAAAATTTTTTTTTAAAAAAATTGATGAATCACTGAATAAAATCCTTAAACTCCCTTCCAAAATAAATGCTTTTAGGACCCTGGAATCCTACACAACAGATGCACTATATGATAATTTTAACACATGGTGATATTAGAGACACATATGGTGTCAGTGTCAACAATAAACTACCGACTGGGCTCCCTATGAATTTTTCGTTTCTTCAAATTGACCACCTTATGCAATGAGGAGCCTGTATCTGAAACCAAGCTCAGACTCCGCAGGGAAGGTCATGGCCTAACACTGAATCCCTAAGCGAGACTGCAGGCTGTGGTACCCAGAGTAGACACTGACTGGATGCTGCCTGCCCTCTGAAAGGAAATGGTTTCATGATTCGTGATTTGCATCCTCAGGGTGAGGAGATGTTGCAAAAAGAAACTTGGTTTGTACAAATGACATAAATGGGGTACTACGTATTGTCCCATTGATTAGGACCTCAACTGTAGCTTACGCAGGCCAAAAGAATACCCGTGCTGTGCTCTTGAATAGCTACCCCATCCTGTGATTTCTCTGAGAGGGAAATAGGTATAGAGGTTACAGAAAAGCAAACATTAACATTGAGGATTCTCCTTAGCAATTAATGTTATATATTATGCATGTATTATATAACATATCACATATATGTTATATATTATATAAGATTCATTATATAATGCATGTATTATATAATATTATATGTGGTAATATTATATGTAGTATTAATATATGACAATTATGTATAACTCTATCATATATTGTACATAATATATACAGTACATACATAATATACACATACATAATATATACAGTACATATATGTATATTAAATGTATTACATATGTATATAATATGCATGTATATATGTATAATATACAATAAAGAAAAACACTACTTTAGGACACGTTGGGGCTCTGGCCCTCCGGCAAAGCTCAAGTGGGCCGGGCTGAGCCCTAGGGAGATACTGTGGCCTAGGCTAGGTCAGCCTGACCACTGAATCCAAGTTGGCTGAAACTTCCTTTTCTAATCACATCCATTTCCAGGCCCAGATTTAAGTCTTGGCCCTTTGTCCCCCACTGCAAGCAAACATCGCTCCAGAATGGGCCACCAGCCCCAAGTTAAGGGCCAGAGGGGCTGGGCATGTGGTAGCATGTTTAGGTGAAGGGCAACCCTAGGCTTGAACTGGGGACAGGACCATCGTACTTCACTGTACGATGTGAAGGCAAAGCGGGGAGAAGAAGGACAGGTGGGCGTGGTGCCCCAGGTAATGCAGGTGTGATCAGGGCTCCGGCAGCAGGGGAGGGGAGAGGAGGGCTAGGGCACTCACAGGGCTTGGCCCTGGAGCCATGGCCACACCGGAGCCTCTGAACTTGACAAATCCAGTATGTCTCCCTGCTGCTTGGGGACAGACGGACTTGTCACTTGCCCATAGCCCAAAGTTTTCCCAAGTCTGGTTCTTGAGATAATTTTATTTCAGACAGTGAATAACATTAAAACACATATTCAGTTATTAAGTTAGTCCTTTTTCATTTCTCTAACTTTCCGATTAAGACAAGGAACAAATTCAAGTTTTGTGCTAGTATGTCTTAAAATGTCTTAAATAATAATCTCTTATAATCGATCACTTGAAAGGCTCCTTTTTCTCCAAACGAAGGGGGTAAAGGCCACACTGTTTTTTGTATTATTAAAAACACTATTTTGTTTACATGTATTTATATTTATGGTTACCTACTCTATATGGTAAAAAGTACTGGGTTTCCATTTATGGGGAGACAAAAACATCCTTTAAAAATAAACTTAAATAGTGAATTGACTAGGGCGCCTGGGTGGCTCAGTCAGTTAATTATCTGACTTTGGCTCAGGTCATGATTTCATGGTTTGTGGGTTTGAGCCCTGCATCTGGCTCTGTGCTGACTTTGAGCCTGCTTTGGATTCACTGTCTCCCTCTCTCTCTGCCCCTCCCCTGCTCGTGCTCTCTTTCTCTCTCTCTCTCTCAAAAATAAATAAACATTAAAAAAAAACATTTAAAAAATAGCAAGTTGATCAAAAGCAAGCTATTAAGTAAATTTTTTACATGTGTTTGGCAAAGATGTTGAAGGTGTGGCTAAAGTTCAGAAAACACCTTAATCAAAAATCTCCATCTACAAAACTTATATTTCTGCATTCCCTGGAAGAGAAACTAACAGATTCATGTCTATAAAGCCGTGGAGAAGCCTTAGATTCACTTGCTCAGGCCTGTGTCTCAAGCTGCACCTTAAAAATGAAGCGCTGGGAATGGGGAAGGGAAATATTCTCTGTGGACTTAAGGAAATTAATTACATGTTTAAAAAAATTATTTAAAATATTTTGAGATTCCTGGGGCACCTGGGTGGCTCAGTCAGTTAAGCATCTGACTTCAGCTCAGGTCATGATCTCATGGTTCATGAATTCGGGGCCCTCACTGGGCTCTGTGCTGACCCCTCAGAGCCTGGAGCCTGCTTCAGATTCTGTGTCTCCATCTCTCTGGTCCTCCCCCACTCACACTCTGTCTCTTTGTCTCTCAAAAATATATAAACGTTAAAGGGGCGCCTGGGTGGCTCAGCTGGTCAAGCGGTTGACTTCGGCTCAGGCTCAGGTCATGATCTTGCGGTTCGTGAGTTCGGGCCTCACATCGGGCTCTGCGCTGATAGCTCAAAGCCTGGAGCCTGCTTCGGATTCTGTGTCTCCTTCTCTCTCTGCCCTTCCCCCTCTCACACTCTGTCTCTCTGTCTCTCAAAAATAAAAAACATTAAAAAAAATAATAAATAAATAAATGTTAAAAAATTTTTAAGTATTTTGAGATTCTTGAATATCTTAATTATAATGATTATATATTAAAATGTTTTAATATATAATTGACATATAACATTATATCATTTTCAGGTGTGTAGCATAGTGATTCTATATATACATAGTGGTGTGAATATCATAAGTCCAATTAATATCCATCACTACACAGTTACAAACTTTTTTTATCTTGTGGTGAGAACTTTTATGATTTACTTTCTTAGCAACTTTCAAATATAGAATACAGTATTATTAACTATTAACTGAAGTCACCATGCCTTATATCCATGACTTATTTATTTTATTTATTTTATAACTGGAAGTTTGCATCTTCTTTTTTAAAAAATTTTTAATGTTTATTTATTTTTTAGAGACAGAGACAGAGAGAGAGCATGAGTGGGGAAGGGGCAGAGATAGGGGGAGACAGAATCTGAAGCAGCTCCAGGCTCTGAGCTGTCAGCACAGAGCCCGACACAGGGTTGAACCCACCAGCAGTGAGATCATGACCTGAGCTGAAGTCGGACGCTTAATCAACTGAGCCACCCAGGCACCCCTGGAAGTTTGTACCTTCTAGCCACCTTCATGATTATATTATAAGGTGAGTTATTTTTATATACTATTCTGAAGCTCAACTTTTTTTTTTTTTTTTTTGCATGAAATGCTCACCATGCTGTGTAGTTACCGTTTGTCACCATACAAAGTTCTTACAATATTATTGACCATATTCCTGGCACTGTACTTTTCATCCTGGTGAATTATTTATTTTACAACTGGAAATTTGTACCTCTTAGTTCCTTTCTCCTATTTGGCCTATCTCCTGCCCTCCCACCCCACTGACTTCTGCCAACCACCACTCTGTTCTCTGTATTTATGAGTCTATTTCTTTTTAGCTTGTTTGTTCATTAGTTTTGTTTTTAAGATTCTACGTATGAGGAAAATCATATGGTATTTGTCTTTCTGTCTGACTTATTTCACTTGGCAAAATAGCCTCTAGGTCCAGCCATATTGTCATGGCAAGATTTCTTTTTTTTTTTTATGGCTAAGTAATACTCCACTATATATAAGTACCACTTCTTTATCCATTTATCTATCAGTGGGCACTTGGGCTGCTTCCCTATCTTGGATATTGTAAATAATGCTGCAATAAACATAGGGGTGCACAGATCTTCTCAAATTAGTGTCTTCGTTTTCTTTGGGTAAATACCCAGCAGTGGAATTACTGGGTCTGCACAGTATTTCTATTCTTAATTTTCTGAGTAACCTCCATACAATTCTCCATGGTGGCTGTACCAGTTTGCATTCCCCTCAACAGTGCATGAGAGTTCCTTTTTCTCCATTTCCTCACCAGCTCTTGTTATTTCTTGTCCTTTCGATAACAGCCTTTCTGTCAAATGTGAGGTGATATCTCACTGTGCTTTTGACTTGCATTTCCCTGATGCTGAGCGATGTTGAGCATCTTTTGTGTGTTGGTGAAGCATAAATATTTACCTTTGGTTTCCATGTGGGAGGTGATCCCAGGTAAACTGGTGCTCTGAGGCTAAAGGTGGAATTTCCAGGCAAACTTCCTTCCCGGGCCCTCAGACCATCCACAACCAAGTGCCCCTTTTCTCCATCTTGCCCAAACACCACCTTAAGAGGAAAGAAGATAAATTAATCTTTTTTATCTTTGACAATTGACAATATATTTATTACTGGTCACAGGACATTTTTTAAAACAATTTTTTTCTGTTTCTTCAAAGAGCTTTAAAAAATTAGAAATTTTTCTCCCTCATATTATCAGCATCATCACCATTTTGTGAGATTATGGTAAACAGTGAATGGAGTAAGCTAGAAAAGTGAGCTTTGAAACAAAGGATTCCTCAAAAGTGAACTAATAAGATACCTTTGACCTATATACACTTATGCAAAAGAGAAACAAATGAAGAGCCACAGGAGTATAAATGAAGACACACCCAGGCCACAAAGGGGAAGGGATCGTTTGTGCAGAGGTAAGAAGGGGAACGTTACACGCTCCCTTCCGCACGCCTCCTGGAGCAAGGGGCCAGTGGCTACTTCTTTCCTAACAAGGAAGCACACATTTTCAACTCTTTGCTAAAAGTCAGGATCCCTGGGCTCTAGGGTGGACCCTCCCATCTCACCACTGTAAGGCTATTCACTAATGGCTCCCCAGCTTATTCTCCCAGCTGTGACCTCTGGCCCCTTCACCTGCCTACTGACAGGTGGGTTTGAATGTCTGACAGGCAACTCAACCCAAGGATGTTCACAGCAGAATCCCTCCTCTTCCCCAGCTCTAACGTGCTCCCTCTCCGGCCACAGCTCCTGCATCCCAGTAGTAGTCCTTGTGTTGACCCAACTGCTGGCCCCAAATCACAGGACTTGATACTGACTCCTCTTTCTCTCACTCCACATGTAGTCCATCAGCAAACCCTCTCGGTTTTCAGAGCACATCCTGGATGGTGCACTTCTGTCCACGGTCAGGGAAACCTCTTGAAGCAAAGGCAGTGGCATCCACCTGGCCGCCTTACTTCCATGCTTACCCTCGCTTCGTCTCTTCAAGCTAAAGACAGCTTTGAAAATATACATCTGTTCGTGCAGTGCTCCGTTTTTAGTTTCAGACTTCAGACACGTCAGAGACGCTCAGAATAAAATCCGAGTCCTCGCCTTGGTTTCAAAGCTTGTACGGTCTGGGCTCTGCCTCACTCCTGAATCCCATCTCTTATTCTTCCTGTTCTGTTCACTCAGCTAATTTCTATCTCAGAGTCTTTGGGCTTGTTGTTCCTTCTGCCTGGAACACCCACTCTGTAACTTCAAGTGACTGTCACCTCCCAAAGGAAGTTTTCCTTCACTACCCTATCTGAAATAGTCCTCATACTCAGCCCCTTCCTTACATTGCTTTAATGCTTTCTCCAAGCACTTACCAATATCTGACATTATATGGGGGATATTTGTTTATATGCTCTAGGATGGCAGTTCATCAAATATTTGTTGAAAGACTAAGTGACAAGGCACCTGGGTGGCTCAGTCGGTTGAGTATCTGACTTCAGCTCAGGTCATGATCTTACAGTTTGTGGGTTCCAGCCCTGTGCTGGACTCTGTGCTGACCGCTCGGAGCCTGGAGCCTGCTTCAGATTCTGTGTCTCCCTCTCTCTTTCCCTCCCCCCACTCATGCTCTGTCTTTCTCTCACTCTCTCAAAAATAAACATTAAAAAAATTTTAAAAAAGAAGAAAGACTAAGTGAGTATAACTTGTCAAGCTGCTTACGTTTCTTGAGTTCTAGTTCCCTCATCAGGAAAAAAAAAAGGTCCCTTCTTATCTTAAACTGTATTTCTTCAAATCTGGGATGCCTTCAGGGAAGATCTGGAATGCTAGGGATGCGGGTCTTCAGGCTTGTGCTATGTAGAAAGCATTTCAGGCTCAGAGAGGGGCCTGGAGACCCAGACATAATCTTGACAGACCGAAATGGTCCAGGAAGCAGGGACTGAATGCTGACATCTCCTTTCCAGATACTCAATGGTGAATTCTGATGCAGGGGGAGGGTCTCACACAGCCCCAGCTCTTACCGTGTGCCATTTCCCATCATTGCACTTCTCTTTGCTTTTGAGCCTCAGCTTTTCCCCTTCTGCCCCCAAAGCAAAGATGAGTCGTCCCTTTGAAAGATAAAGAGCCATATAGGAGTTCTTGGTGCCCGTGTAAAACATGAGCCCTCTGGAGGATGCCGTCTGCACGTCCACCGCGAACAGTGACCTGTCAGGAAAATAAACAATAGGCAAAGAAGGAAAACAGAAGTTTTGAGTGTTCTTCTGAGTCCCTGAAGCTGGGAGAGAGGATGTGGCACAAACCCCCAAACCCCCATGATTCAAATGAATGAGCTAAGACATGTACTGATTAAACAACCTATCTCTTTAGGAATTTTTAAAAGCCACTGTAGTCCAGCTATTAAACGTTTTGTGTATAATTTTCTTTCTATATTGGGGAATAATGAGCCAACTCTATGGCAAACCAAGATGGCGGGGTAAGCTCCAGCATATGGCAAGAAAGAAGATGCCCTACCTTTTTTTTTTTTAAATCTGCATTTAAACAGATCATAAAATTTAAGTTGTATACATAATTTACCATGTCAACCTTTTTAAAGTGTGCAGTAGTGTCAAGTACATTCCCATTGCTGTGCAACTGGTCTCCAGAACGCTTTACCTTGCAAGACTGAAACTCTACCCAGCAAACAACACCTCTGCATTCCCCATCCCCTATATACTGGTGACCACCATTCTACTTCTTGTCTCTCTGAATTTGATTACTGAGGTCTTTCATATAAGTAGAATTACATAGTATTTGCCTTTCTGTGACTAATAGCTCATTTCACTTAGCAGCCAGTACCTTTTTAACCCAGTGAATATCAGTGAATATCTACCGGTGCAAGGAGTGGGACACTGTAAGGGGAAGTGTGTGTGTGCATGCACGCACGCCCGTGTGTGTGTGTGTGTGTATGTGTGTGTGTGTGTGTGTGTAGGTGGGGATAATTTGAATAACAAGGATTTGATTTAAGCATCAGATAAGTATTTTCTTTCAGTTAGACATATTTTACATAGATGTGGGAAGTACAGATCCATCTTCTCCCACCACATTTATATTTATTGGACCTTAATACCTCACCTACAATGGAACAGGAATTAAGCAAACATCATGCAGTAAAAGCAAAGAATGAAAGCTAATATTCCTTTGCACGATAGTTACATATCATATGCACATCTGGCTGAGCTCCCTAAAAGTACAGTGTGACAAGGTGGTGGGGGACACACGTATCGGTAGCTTGTCATCACCCACTCCCTGTGGCTTATGTCTAAGCACACCCAGACAGAGGACAGGAACTAGGTCTATCCTCCTTGAAGCTGCATCTCCAGTGCTTCGTACGCAGTAGGCAGTCAACAAATAGTTTGGCTGAATTAAATAGTTAACTGAATAGTTGAATTAAATGCTAAATGGAAAACTTAGAGGCAGAATCAGGAAGCGGAAGAAAAAAATGACACTGTTACTTCTCTTTGCTCTTTAATACTGTGAGGCTGAGCAAACACGGAGATGCTTTAATTTTTTAGATTAGCAAGTTTCCTTGAGGGTGATGTTCTTCAAAATGAAAAAGAAATCTATATTTGTTAAATTAAACCAACCAGATGGTGACACCGCTCAATATTTCTCTTGGTGTAGCTGTGTGCGGAGGTTTGGAGAATGAGGGTTAGCCAATTTAAGGAGGATATTCGAACTTGCTACAGAATTAAAGTATTTTACATATGTGGGCTCGGTTATCAGACTTGACATTTGCTTTTCAGAGTTATTTCTTAAAGCAGCTTTCTTTCATAAAAGGCTAACTGACTAACACCCGAAAAAGACAGCAGTATATTCAAATCCCAGCATATGATACTGTAGCTATGACTCTTCTTTGCTAGTGGATAGGAGAATAAGGCAGGGAGTGAAGTGGCATTTTTATGCATTCGTCAAAAGGATAAAATAGTGGTGCAGCATTTTAAAGGAGAGGCCAAAAATTGCTAGGATAGAAATTAGAATGAGGACACTGCAAGAGCCCATATCCTGGACTGGTAGCATCCTGAAAATATATTCTGATTGCTAGCATATTTGAGACTAATATAATTTAAAAACTATGTCTATTAATGATAACTTTTTTCTACTTTCCCTTTAAAAACATCCTCTTCCCACTTATTACATATAATTTAGTGTTGCAAAGGAAGATGTCGGGGTCACATCCTTAGAAGAAGGTAGAGGACTCACCACACTGAATGTGATGAGAGAAAAAGTGCAAGACAGAAAGGTGCTTTGCAGGGAGGCGGAGGGAAGGGCTGGTGGAGAAGCCTTGGAGCCCAGGCAGGTGGGAGGGGAGGCTGGGAGCATTTGCACAGAGATCATTATCCATTAAGCTCAGCTTGACCAAGAGCACAGTGGGTGGGAGTGGGGCCTTCCTCCCGACAGGTAGCCCTGGAAAGGGCTAATAAAACTCAGTAGGACCCCACTTCTTAGTCTCTGTTAGTATAGTTCTGGCAAATCAGGGATCCCAGCAGGAGCTGGGGAGCTGCTGGCATAGGGTTCTCCTTCTGAACTCCACCCTTCCTCTTCCCGGCTTTCACATCTGCCTGTGAATTGTGCACTTGGCTTATTGAGTGCGTGAGGGCCAGCCCTTTGCAAGCTACTATGTCTCCTCCCTGCAAGAAAAGCATTATCAACCCCATCTAGCTGATGAGAAAATGGAGAGTCAAAGAGATGTAGCAACTTACAAAAGCATGTGAGACCAGCATAATGATGCTAAGTTTATGGATAGAAAGCTGAGGCCAAAGGAAGCTGGACACTAGCCTATGGTGTCCATGGACTTGCTGCTCCAAGCTCCGGAGTGAACGTGCTGTGGGGACGCAGAGGTGGTCCCCTGCCCCCGCCCCCATGCCCTCAGGTCTGCAGTGCCATATGGGGGATTCCCAGCCAAGAACTGAGCTCGGCAGCAAAACTAGAGCCAAGCCATTTATGTCCAGCTCTTCTAAGGGGGGGACCTCTGCTTTGCTGCTGGCCCACGGTTCACGGGTGCCATTCTCCTGTCTCAGCCCAAGGCTCTCCACGTCAGCCCCTGCTCCCTCTGCCTTTATCTCCCACAGGAACGATACATCTCTTGCACATCTAATCCCATCTTAAAATGTGCCTCCCAGAGGACCAAACTGGCAAATGGCCAGAGGTCACACAGCCAGCAAGTGGCTGAGCAGGGACGGAAGCTCAGTCTCAAAGGCAGGCCTTTTTGACCCCTGGGAAAATCTGCTTCTGGATATAAATCATCACGGAATTTTGGCACCTTGTTATTTATGTCTCTGAATCACATGAAAATGGTGAACCTTGTTTTCCTACTTTCTTCCGACATAATTAATATCTCTTCGCTCGCTCCTCCCCAAAAGCCACGTGACTTGTTAGCACGAGAAGTCCAAAAGTGGTCTCTAAAAATGATCTATCTGGCACTGAGTCTACTTAAAAGAATTATTTTTCTCTGACTATAGAACGCAGACAAGAAAGGTGATTTATCACAGAAATAAATAGCAGCTTTGAAGAGAAATATCAGTCTTATTTTTAGAACACCGTCAACCCTACACCAGAGCCGGGGCGACTGTTTCAGCCGCGGAGCAGCCCCATCACGTGTGCGTTCCAGCTGCGCGGAGGGCGCACACTTGGGCGGTCATGTTCCCTGTCCTGTGCAGGCCAGCACCTTCCTTCACCGCAGTGGTGCTGCCGCTTCATTAGGGACAGGTGCATGGTGTCACGCCGGCCAGCCTGCTCTGGGACAGGACTGCAGAGTCAGGTTCTGAGTTGGTGTGGGGGCCGGAAAATGAGCAAATACCTGGGTTTCAGCAACTCCTGGGGAATCGTGAAGAGCAAGTGGCTGGTCGGACTGTCCCCAAACCTGAGGGCTCCATGACTGGCCTGGGCCTGGGGAGGTGGCAGGCAAGACTGGGCATCTCGCCACATGTCCATGCTCCTTGGGGAGGCCACCGGTGTATCCCGCAATGGCTGCAAGGGAGAGAAGCAAAAAGCAAGGATAGCTAATCATCAGGGGAAAGAGTAAAGAACACTTAGCTCGATAAGGTGTCTCACGCAATTATTACTTTGATCCTAGGAGATTAATTCAAAAGAGATAAATTCATCCTCGGGGAGGACGCATGTTCTTCCCATCCGATACAAGTGTGGTCTCATTCCTGACAGCTGCCACACCTGGGACCAGTGGGTTTCCAGAGCCCCTCCCCCTGATGGAGCTGTGGATCATACTGTCCCTCCTGAGAGAGCCAGCATTTGGCCAGCAGCATGAGGCCTGCACAGACAACTGGTGGGACACAGAGCCACCAATCCACCACCTCTCCTTGGAGCCATTCACTTGGGTTTGTGCAGCAGGGCAGTGAAGGAAACAGAGAGCGAGAACCAGAGGTGTGTGGTGGGGAGGGGGCATGGCCTGCCTCCACTTTAATCAGAATTGACCCATGCACGGAAGTATATCCTGGGCTAGATGACACAGGGAGCTTTTGAACGGAACTGAGTTTTAATGCCCCCAAACAACTATAGTGCATATCAGTAGGGATAGAACAATTGTTAGATACGGAGACTCCCCAGCTGTTCTCCCCTTTTTCTCTGCTCTGAAGAGCCCAGATTTCGATCACGTGTCCATGACTCCCACAAGACCCAGTGCTCCATTGGGTTCTCTATTTGTCAAAGTGAAGGGCGGGGATTTGCTGTGCCAGGGACTGGTTGAGGAATGAACGTCTGACCTCCTTCTTGGACAATGAACCTTGAGGGGAAACAGAGAGTGGGGGCTCTGAGAAATATGTCTTGGCTGATAAAGACCAGCTGATGGGTCTGGTGCTGGGCATTACCCTGCGTGGATATGAAGCCCTGAACTACGCAGGATGGAGCCTGGGTGAGCTGAGATGGGCCAGGCCTCAAACACTACCTGTCCCCAAACTGTCCATCATGTGACACATTGATCTTCTTACTGTTAAACCATTTTACTGTGGACCTAGTGGCTAAAGGCTTTCAAAAAAATTTAAATTCCTTCAAGATCAGGTTATCCTTCTGGACCTGATTCCTGGATAGGATGTTCGGAATAGAAACCCAATGCTACTTACTTAAAATGTTTTGTGTTTACACGTTGCTGAGTGGAGATGGGCAATCATACTCACCAGAGAGTTAAATGAATTGCTTAAAACTATTTCACATCCAGCCCAAGCTGGATTTGAGTGGAGCTTCCTTACTGGGGCCTCCCTCCCTCCCTGAGTCTTCCCTGTGTGTCAGTAGCAGTAACATCAAGATGAACCATTTTCATAAATACCTTTTGTCACCAACTCTTCCATTTCATAATGGCACCAACTTCCTTCAAGGCACCCAGGCCCTACATCTTGGTCATCATGGACGCCCACCTCCCTTGCCTCTTCCTTGAGTTCCGTTTCCATGTCCTACTTCATCTCTGTTGACACAACTGCCACTCCCAGTCCCTCTGCCCTGAAAGCCAGACTCCTGACTCTCTTGCCTGGACTTTGTCAGGAGTCTGCCAATTTGACTCCTTGTCTCTAGAACTTTTCCTCATCAAACATGCTGCTGCCTATTAATCTTCAAACACGGTTTAAGGCAATCCTTTCATAGGCTTTATGTTAATTATAGAAAAATGTCAAAATTACATCAGGCCATCCTATCCCCGATGGGGCTCAAACATGAAATTCTGAGCTTACCTCTGTCACTCTCCTTCCTCCACCCAATTTTCCCTGTTCACCACGCTTTTCAAACCTGTAGAGGCCACAGGATGTGGTCTGAAGAGAACATTCTTTGAGACCTAGCTCTAAGTTTGAATTCTGAGCCTACTGTTTACTAGTGCTCTTGGGCAAGTTGCTTTTATTTTTTTTAAAACCTCTCTATGGGGCGCCTGGGTAGCTCAGTTGGTAAGCATCCACCTCTGGTTCAGGTCATGATCTCACGGCTTTTGGGCTCGAGCCCTGTGTCAGGCTCTATGTGGACAGCTCAGAGCCTGGGGCCCACTTCAGATTCTGTGTCTCCCTCTCTCTGCCCTTCCCCCGTTTGCTCTCTCTCTCTCAAAAATAAACATTAAAAAAAAATTTTTTTAAACCTCTCTGAGGCTCCATTTCCTGACATGTAGAGCTGGCATTTTATTCTGCCCTCAGAGGGGTGTGGTAAGAACCAAAAGAGACAGTATGCAGACTGGTGAAGATGAGAGATGCAGGGGAAGTGAGTGCACCTGAGTCACACCCACATCCTGCCTCCTGGTTGCAGGCTTCTGCTCATGCAGAGTGACATCCGCTTGTCTAAATCTAACCCATACTCCAGACCCAGTTCTTCTCCCCTCCAGAAGAACCCCCCGATCTTTGAGGCAGGAAAGTTCCTGTTGGTTGCATGTTTTTTGTTTGCATGGAGGTTATTAGTGTATATCATAGTAACAGCTTATATTTATCACGTGGTTACCACATGCCTGGCACTTCTCTATATGTTGTGTGTTTAGTACCTCATTTAACCCTCACAACAATGCTAGGAGACCTTACTTTATACATCTGCATGCATGTTGCAGGCAAGAGACCCACTGAGAGGTTAAAAAATCATTCACAGCCACACACCTAATAAGTGGTAAAGCCTCATGCAAACCTAGTAAGTCTGACCCCAAAGTCTAGTAAGTCTGACCCCAAAGTCTACTACTTTACCACAAAACTTTGTTGCTTTCTTTCTATTATTGGGCTTTTGGAGGTAGAATTGATGTTTTATTCCATCTAATCTGGGGGCTTGCACAAAACAGGGGCATAATTAAATACAGTGTATTCACTGGTGGCTTCCACATCAATGGACCCAGCCTCTGCCCCCATCCACTGAGGCCCATTCAGCGGCACCTGACAGTCCCCGCCAGTTCTCTCTCCATAGATGTCCTCCAAGCACCTGTCATTCAATATACAATATACTCCACTCAGTCTCTTTTCCTCCAAATACTTGTCCTTCTTCTATCTCCACGAATGGCACCTCTATCCATCCAATACCCCGGACTAGATGCCTCAGAAACATCAACTCCTGCCTCTCCCTTGCCATCCACATTCAATTATCATCTGCATCCTATACATCCTGTCTTCTAAATAGCTTTGAACCCTTTTCCTTCTCTCCATCTCTACCATCACTGTGTTAATTTAGTCTCTCAGTAACTCTCAACCTTGCAATGAAAAAAAAAAAAAAAGAATACCTGATTTCATTCCTGATGGATCAGTCCTAAAGATGTGCTTTTCATATCAGCAAAAAGACTACCCTCTATAAAGTGTGTTTCTTCATAGTAGCATAAAACATTTCTTACTATGGACTATCTATTCAACTTCTCCAAATCACTGTTCAGCAAGGGAACTACTGGCAGACAAGTAGCATGGGGGTTGATGTTGAGAGAAAAGTATGTTGAACAGAAGTGCATTGCCCTTAAAAGGGTGCAGGCAGTGGGATCAGGCTGTCTGGTTTTGAATTCCAACTGCACCTTCTACCTTTGGGAGCTTGGGCAAATTGCTTACCTTTATAAAGTACAGCATCTTTTTCTGTAAGATGTGGCTACTAACATACTTGCTTGGTACCATTACCATAGTATGGTAATATAGAAACATAGTAATAATACTTCCTCACAAGGTTACTTGCAGATGTAGTAAGAAAAGCCACTTAAAGAGCTTCATAGTAATAATACTTCCTCACAAGGTTACTTGCAGATGTAGTAAGAAAAGCCACTTAAAGAGCTTAGCACAATGCCTGGTGCATAGGAGGTGCTCAGTGTCACTCATTAATCGTATTAACTGTAACCTCAGACACAGGGAGGTCATAGTGTTGACCTTGGCCACAGCAAGAAATTCTTTAAGTCCTAACGCTGTGTCCAATTCATTACGGTGCTTCTGCTCCTCCAAACAAGAGACTTTACTTCCTTTCTGCCTCTCTTAGTGGTGCACTGTAGAATCACCTAGAAGCTTTACAAACTCCTGCCACTTGGACCTATTTCAAGAGCATCTGATGTAATTAGGAGGGATGCAACCCAAGCCCTGGGATTTTAAAAGCTCCCCAGATGTTTCTAGTGTGCAGTCAAGGTCAAATCACACTCTCGGCAAGGCCCGGGTGCATGTGTACATGTTGTCTTAAGAGCCAGGGTGGAGGGTTGTCTGCGGGGAGGGGAAGGGGCATGACCCCTGTATCCTAGAGAAAATCACTGTTCCTGTTAGATACACAACAGGAATGTCAACAGAGCGAGACATCATATACAGAACTTGAGAAACCTGAGATTTAATTTGTTCGGTCTGCAAAAAATTGCCAAATTTTCATCAAGATACAAAATAAGAGCTAATACGGAAACCTTTACCACATCTTGGCACAATCCAATTGTTGATGACTCATCAAGCCCACTTCCTAGAGGCACTGACCCCCCCAAGGGATCAGGCGATCTGCACCTCTACCACCACCCCAGCCCCCTCCCCAACATCTCACATGGGGCAGGATTCTCTCATGAAAATCATCTGGAGAGAAGCCAAAGCCAGTGTAGGGTACACTTACCTGGTTGATATTGAAAGCGTGGGCTTTGTTAAACTTTGCAGAACCTCTATACAACATGAGAAAAGGTGGTTTGTTTAAACTGCAGCCTCCCAGGGACACATCTCTCTTGGTAGATTTGCTGGCCAAGTCCAGGACTGTAGAACTCTCTGACAACCTGGAATGAGGGCAGAGAAGAAAACCATTGCCAAACTCGGACATCTCAAGGAAGATGCACTGGCACAGAGAGCTTGCTTTAAGAATACACGCGCTTACTGTCATGCTTTCTAGGTGAACTTTCCTCTCTACCTGTGCGTTGTCTCTAGAGGAGGTACCGGGCTCAGAGGAGAGGGTGTGATGGGCTGTTACCCACCCGTGCATTCCCTAAAACACTCGGCACGGAGACTTGGCAGCAGAAAGGCCTGAGCAATTGTATTCACTTGGCTGGTTAGGGCTGGGACAAAACCAGAAGACTACAGCTATTTCTTTGGAAATGGTGTCATCTAGAAATACGAAAATGAAATATGCAGAGAGGAGAAAAGTAGGTGTCGATGATCCAGAGTGACGGTGGGCATCAGGAAACCTTAGAAATGAGTTTGCAGAAGGGTTTTTATCTCGCTGCACTTGTGTAAGGGGGTCTCACAGATAAATCTGCTTTATCTCGTGATTGGTGTCTGAGCCTGGATGGACACCAGGAGTCCCCAAGCTCCCAACAGGTTGCTCGAGTTTCCTGACCAGTTCTGGGCTCCTCTTCTGCCCTGAGGAGGGTTTTGCCTTTTATCTAAACATGATCATTTTGGGGCATCCGGGTGGCTCAGTTGGTTGAGCAACTGGCTCTTGGCTTTGGCTCAGGTCATGATCTCACGGTTTGTGAGTTCACACCCCACATCAGCACAGTGCCTGCTTGGGATTCTCTCTCTCCCTCTCCCCCTCCCTTGCATGTGTTCTCTCTCTCTCGCTCTCAAAATAAATAAACATGATATAAAATAAAATAAAAGTGATCATTTTGAATCAAAAGAAAAGAACATCTAAGCATTTACATGCAAGCACCAGGCTCCTCTCTCTATAGAAAGTCACATTCGAGTTTGACAATGTGGTGATTTGGTTTCCCAGCAGTACACTGGCCCATGCAAGTCATCAGCCCCCAAATCAGGATGGATCTGATTAAATCAAATGCGCAGTCTTGATTAAAATGAAGTGAAATCTCAGTTTAAAAAATTCTCAGGGCCACCATCAGAAAATTAATTTTCATTAGACCTGTTTCAAGGTTATGTGCCAACGCTGTTCCCATAAAGGGAGGCAGGGAGGGTTTTGTTGGAGATGGTTTGTTTTTAATGTGTGTATCTTGTCTAGGATGGCATGGGCGAGTTTGTGGGATGAGAGGCTGGTGAAGCAGGTGGTGACAAATCCAGCTGTGCTACCAGAGCGAGGAGATTTCGTCGCTGTGGGAAGGCGGCTCTCACACCCACAGCCACACACACAGGAATGGCACTCACCTCTTGATAAAGACGTTGCTGATACAACCCTCAAAGTGACTCCCGCCCAGACGCAGGGTTTGCTGGGAATCTGTCAGGTCATGTAGCTTTTGGTTATTTTTCAGAGGCTGGTCATCAATGAGAAGCCAGAGTCTGGAAGAGGAGGAAGACAAAATAAGATTGAGAAAGAACTGCCGGGAAGAAACGTTTCTCATGATGTGGCCAACGTCTTGTCTTCGATTCAGACTCAGTATCTTTAACCTAAAGTAACTCGTTAAATCAGACTTGTTTTTAAAGAGCATTTACATTTCTTTCCATGTATTTCTTTTGCACAGATTCTTGTCAAGGTATTCCATACGTGTGGGAAGTTCACATATACTGTGTACAGCTCAGTGAATTTTTTGCAAGGTGAAAATACCAATGATACCAGCACCCAGATGAAGCAGAACAGACCAGCACCCAGGAACCCTGCCTTGTGCTCGCTTCTCCCCCCTCCAAGGGTATGGCAACTATTCTGAATTCTGAGAAGAAAAATTAACTTTGCCTGCTTTTGAATTTTATAGAAATGAAATCATAGGAGATGAATTCTGTTATGTGTGACCTCTTTTATTCAGCAGTACACTGGGGAGCTCATTCAAGTCAACCTACACAGTGGTAGATCTTTTTGGTCATTTTGTTTCGTTCCTTCATTTTGAATATGCCACAACTCGTATATCCATCCAATGGTTGACTGATTTTTTTTTTTTTTAATAAGGAGATTGACCAAGAACCAGGAAGAAGGCAAATCTTATTGGTAAAACAGTGTAAGCATCAAGGATACATACATTATGAAAAAGATTCTAGAACATTCTATTAAATTAAAGTCTTAGGGGTTTGGCAGAAGAGCAATTCCACTCACCCAGAGTTGTCATTTATTACAGATACATAATGCAGCAAACCATCCGTGTATGTCTGGGGAGATTTAAAAATGGGGCTGTTTCTGTCTCTGGTGTTAAGTTCAATGTGACCATCTTCCAGGGTGACCTGCAGGTTACTTTTCTGAAATCACAGAATATGCCCATCAATGTCATTAATTTCCATTTCAACATTATGAGTATATCAATACTGAATTTATGATCAAAACCATGTATAAAACAGGCAGGTGGGTTTGACCCAAATGTTTTGACTTTGCTATTTTGAGCTAAAGAGTATTTCTGATAATTTAGACTCCATGTTTATGAATATAAAAGTCTTATGCAAATTGTTTAAACACTGATGGATCTGTCAAAAGCATTTTATGACCTATATTCATAAATCAATTTAACTTCTCCATCAATTACACAAAACAGTTAAGCCATCTCTAAATTTTTCTATTTCTACTTCCAATTTGTTGAAGTTGTTTTCATCAGAATCAAGTCTTTTCGTCATTATGAATTTTTTATTTTCTGGTCATAATATCTAGGAGGTTCAATTTTCAAATGTCAAACTCTGCTTTGACATCTGATCTAAATTTTGGTAGGATGATTAGATTCTTGCTGTCGGTTAATTAAAAAACAGATATAGTGTTTGTAATTGTCATTTTAATTTTGTTGTTCTTTTTTTTTCTACCAAATACAGTTTTTTGTTTTTTTGGTTTTTTTGTTTTGTTTTGTTTTGTTTGTTTGTTTTGCAATTTTCAATAGGGTGTGATCATTCACTGAGTTTTTAGGCTAAAACAATTTTCACAGCATGTGGTTATAGCCACCGTCAGTTTTATATTTTTTCAGTTGGTGCTATTCATTATGAATTGGATAAAAGAATACCAATTTATATGTATTTCTTAGCTAACACATTATGAAGTTGAGGGCAAAGTTCCTAGGATATTTCTAGAATTCCTAGGTCTAGGATTGATCTCCTCTTCTGCTAAGTCAACTCTTATGCTGGCTCTCAACTGTTTTGTAAACTGTATACTCAGTATCCCTACACTTAGCCAAGGAAACAAAAGTTGGATGTCAAAAGAGCTAGGTCAAAGCATCCTATTTTGATAGAAAGGGCACTTTTGCAGTCAAAATGCTGGCATGTGCTTCTTCAGGGAATAGTTTTAAAAGAAAATCTCTAAAGGCCGATTGAGCAAATATTATTGAGAGGAAGCCTTCTAATATGACACAGCCACAGAGTCACAGAGCCAGCTACCATGATTTCTTTCAACAAATACTGGATGCCTGTTGTGTTGTGTTGACAATCCTTAGGAAACAAATCCAAGATTGTCAGTATTCTATTTCTACCTCTCTTTTAAAATCCCCCTCATTCCACAAGGGGATTTCTAAGTATTAGTTGACTTCTATAACTATGTAAACACACAAGTGAAATCCTATTAATCTACAGTGGGTACCTTCTTGCTGAAGAGAATTCTGTCCTATTGTTGTACATAAACAAAGAGCAAAGGACCTTATTTTCTTTCATTCCCCAGATGTAAATATTGTCCAACTAGCTGATGCTGCAAACAAGGAATCTGAAGAACTATCTTTCATAGATTCAAAAAAGAATAGTGATGATATATTCTAATTTTTTTCTTAGATCTGAAACTTTAAGCTGCATTATTATTTATAATAGTTATAATTCACATTAACTCCTAAAATAAACCCAAGAGGAATGAAAATGGATCCATGCATACATATAAGTCCAATTCTGTAAACTATGATGTACTTCCTAAGCCTTATTTCTTTTAGGACTTGCCCCAGGAAGAGGAATAACCTTCATGGTTGAACTATACGATGCCCTTCACCCTATGATGATGGATAAAATGCCTACTTAATTTACCTTCAAAATCTCTCTATTGTTTTTGACATCAAACTTTGAGTGAGGTTTAAACCTTATTCAGTATTCATGCAATATTTCATACCCGTGTCTGGTGACTTAATAATAGGCCACTGGGTTGAAAGGTCTGAAATCCAAAGGACACCTGGAAAGACTTGAGGAAAGGGGAGTCCAAATTCGTGAAACTCAATTGTCCATCCCTGGAGAATGAGGCAGATCGCACGAGCTGAAAGGCAAACACGGAATAAATTACTGGCATTGGAATCATTTCATGCTGAAATCCAGTATCTTATCCTCTGTCACTTCACCTGAGCTGATTAATGTGGTTTATGTTGCCTCAGGAAGAAACAGTTTGCTTTTCTGCATGATAATTTACCAAGCGTCAGCGTTTTTGTGTGTATAGTCGGTATTCCTTTTTTCCTACGTATTTAACGTACATACCTGAAGGGGTTCTGTATTTTGCAAATATGAGGGGAGCATAAACAAACCAGTTCATTGTAATTTTGTGCGCAACTGGGAAGACTCGAAAGTTAATGCGTAAATGAATACCAAAGATAGGTTGGTTGGGGAGCAGTCCTTCTCTACAAGGTTTTGAATACTCACCTTCCAGTCTTCTGAGCATTTTTTTGTTACTCCCACAGTGTCATTCAACCTAACAACACCAGTAGTTTTCTTCAGGTTTTTCATGCAGCCTCGGAAAGCAGGTGTAGAAATGTTAAACCTAATTTGGGGTACAAAAAAGGAAGAGGTATACCAGACCAGGCTTGTCTGAGAATTGGAGCTGAGACTCTCTACTTTGTCTGCTACTTTTCACCCATGAACAGGTATGTATTTTATGGGTTTTCATAAAAACCTGTTTTCATGGGACTTCTATAACACTACTTATTTCGTGAAGCTGAGAACACCGACTTCCTTTCGGTGTGATTCTGCATTCTCAGCTTTAAAAATAAACATAATAGTGCTGACAGAAGAATGACCAGTGTCCTTAAAAAGCATAGAGACAGAAAATGTACAAGATGTAGAATCCTCTCCCTTCCAAAGTCATAGTGGTACATGGTGAATAGGAAGTATATTAACAAATTAATATACTATAAATATTATATAAATATATATTAATATATAAAGAAGTCATTTATTAGAGCCAAGAATGCTCTAGAAAACTCTTTGCTCTTTTTTCCTACACACTTTTAAGTTAGTCACCATTAACTCAGTAGAAACAAATTGTTACATTTGTGTTCTAGTCAATGATGAAAAATGTGGCTTGGTATTGAATTAATGCCAGGTCGGAACAATAGAAAGCACTGTGAGGATTAATCAAGTTCATGTGGACCGACGGGGTGGCTCAGTGAGTTAAGCATCCAACTTGGGTGCAGGTCATGATCTCAGGGTTCAGGGGTTCAAGCCCCGCGTTAGGCTCTGTGCTGACAGCTCAGAGCTTGGAGACTGCTTCAGATTCTGTGTCTCCCTCTCTCTGCCCCTTCCCCGCTTGTGCTCTAGCTCTTAAAAATAAACAAACAACGACAACAAAAAGTGAATGCACCAGGTGTGGCATGCAGTTGTGAGAGTGCAGGAGGTGTTTTCTGCTGCACTAGAGAGGAGGGCTCTGCACCCAGACTTCCTGGGTTCAAGCCCGGTCCCTGCCGTTTGAGCAGGTGACTGAACTACTCTGTGCCTCTGCTCATTTCTACGATGGGAACACGTTTATCTGTTTTATCAGGTTGTCATGAATTTAAATGGGCTAATATGTGTAACACATGCAAATGATGCCCGGTATAGAGCAAGGACTCCACATGAGATGTCGGGGTGAGTAACTCTCTCCGTATGACTGCAGTCATAACAACAGGAATTTCTTTCAGCAGCAGCTCTGCCTATGTGGCTACCTTGGCATTCCCCCCTCCTTTTTTTCTTTTCATTTTTTTTTTTCTTTTTTGTGCATTTCCCTTTTGATTTGACTTTTGGATCTGTCTGGAGCTGACTTCACATAAAACATTAACACACATGAACTGACTGGAGTCCAGGCAAATATTTGTGTTCCTTAAACAAATGATGTAACTAAGAAAAACCCAAAGCTTATTTCCTTACAAATCCCTAAGGCAGCTCACCTTTCTAAATGGAAAGATATCTGCATTCATTCTTATTCAAACCATTATAAATAGTTGAGTTGCATGTAATATGCATACAGTTAAATTTCATTAGAAGGAAAAGGAAGAAACTAATCCCGCTGGTATTGCAGCGTGAGCTTAATTATTTTAAAGATGACGCTTTTTTTGCCTTGGAAAAGAAAGTTTATATTAATTCCTGGAGTTTGTCTATTTACACATATTTTAAAATCCATTCTCTGTGGGCTTTGCACATGGCTTAGACCATCACCATCCCATGATGTCCTTTTTTCCATCAAGTATAAGTCCAAGGAAGAAGGCAGCAGAAAAGCAAAGTGGGGAAGACAGGAAGCTGGCGGATGTGGAGCACCTATTCTGTGAGAAGCACCATTATTCCAGCCCCACCAGAACCTTCCTAGGGAGGTGTTTTCTTCTCTAACATTGACTGAGCTCTTACCACCTGCCTGGCTGACTCTGACCCACTCTGAATCCTCACCCCGCCCCGAGAGATAGGTAGATACTCTGACCATGTCCCAGAGGTAGCATGGGGAGGCGTGCGGAGCTTAAGCAACTTGTCCAAGGTCATGTGGCAGGAAGGTGGCCGCCTGAGTGCTGGGACCTGAGCGGTCAGTGTGTCACACAAACAAGTGTGATTCGCAGTCCTTGCTCTTTACATTTACACAGTTTGTGTACTTCTAGCACTTGGAAGAACAGTGACTTTTTCCTATAAAACAGACATCTACAGCAGAGGTGTTAAGATGGAAGGTTTATTTCCACTATTCTTTGAGGTGTCCTTGTTCCTCTGGCTCATCTGAAGGCCTAGAATTCCACACTGAGTCCAGGATGCAAGGGCTGAACACACTTGCAAGAGGAACGTGATTGTCTTGGGATGCGGGGTGCTGAATGAATGGATTAGCGCACTGAGCTATGTACGTGTACTGTGGGCCAATCTATTCACAAACACCGAGCTGGTCCAAACCTGTGGCTGGCAGATTTCAGAGCAGTAAGAGCCAAATGTAATCCAAACCTCAGTGCTGGGTATTGAGTATATGTCCAATAGATCCTTGACTGATTTTTGCTTTAAGAATTATTATTTTCAGGGCACCTAGGTGGCTCAGTCAGTTAAGTGGGTGACTTCAGCTCGGGTCATGGTTTCGCAGTTCTTGAGTTCAAGCCCTGCATCGGGCTCTGTGCTGACAGCTCAGAGCCTGGAGCCTGCTTTGGATTTTGTGTCTCCCTCTCTCTCTGCCCCTTCCCTGCTCACTCTCTGTCTCTCAAAAAAAAAAAACATTAAAAAAATTACTATTTTTATTTTAATGGTTTATTATTACACTGACACAATGGTGTAGGTCTTTCCTCAGGAAAGATTTCCTGTTGCTTGAGAGCCTCTGACATTATCAGGGTGATTTTCTCTTCTCATAGGAAGCAGATGGGATTAACAGATTATGATTTCTGATTGTAATCCTAAACAAGCCATTCCAAGATAGGGGTCCCCACCCCCACGGGGATACATTATAGAGAGAGAGGAGAGAACAGGGCACTCACAAAATCTCTTGGTCAGGACTGCTTCAATTAGAGATTCAACTGGCTTCCTTCTTTCCAAACTAGGTTTAAGTACTACTGTCTCTAAGGGCCTTCCTCTTATGCAGGAGTCAGAACACCTCCCTCCTTTACAAGAATTGTCTGCCTGCCCCACAGAGTTTGGCTGTGAATACTTAGTAGGACTCCTCTCTGCCCACCCGCCCCCCAGTGACCCATGTCAGAAGGGAGATTCAAGACTCTCAGGACCATCAAAGATGTCACCAGAGGGATTAAGCAGGGTCAGAAATAGCCAATGTTGTTTAGCATTTTATTTGCAAAGGAGTAAAAGGCCAGTGAACTCTTTTGACTGTCTTCTATCTCTTACATTTTCCATGTTCTTTTTTTTTTTTTTTGACAGAGAGAGAGACAGCATGAGAGAGTGAGTGGGGGAGCGGCAGAGAGAGGGAGAGAATGAATCTTAAGCAGGGTGACTCAGGGCTCCATCCCACAACTCTGGGATCATGACCTAAGCTGAAATCAATAATCCGATGCTTAACTGAATGAGCCACCCAGGTGTCCCAGATGTTCTTATGATTTTAGTAAAAACTCAAAATATAAACTTGCCTAGGAAAAGAAGTAGTCTCTTGTTTGGAAAATTCTACGACAGATTACTAGAAAAATTCTGTATGTACTTCTATCTGTATATGCATAACTATATCTATATATGTATTTCTTTCCTTTTTTAATTTTGAGAGAGACCGAGAGAGTGAGCGCAGGGTAAAGTCAGAGAGAGAGGAAGAATCTGAAGTGGGTTCTGCTGTCAGAGCAGAGAACCCAACACGGGGCTTGAATCCACACACCACGAGATCATGACCTGAGCAGAAATCAAGAGTCAGACACTTAACCGACTGAGCCACCCAGGTGCCTCTCCGTGTATGTATTTCATAAATGGATAGGGATGATAAGGCAAAGAAAGGCTGAGTGCTGACTTCACTCAAAGTCACACTGCTCTTTGGTGGCTGAGCCAAGACTAGAATGACTTCCTTTGATTATCACCCACTACCGTTTCCTCGTAAACCCTGACTCACTGGCGCCCACGTCGCTATCCGTGGGCCTTTTGCTAGCTCTGCACAAATGCAAACCACTAACCAGTAGCTTCTTTCTTGTCTTTGAGAATTCCTCAGTGCTCTGGATGAGCCTGCCTGCCCTGTAACCTTGACCAACACCTCCACCTGAGCAGCATCCACCATTTGTCCAGCCCAGACTTCTCTGTAGAGGTCCAGGCCTTTGTCCAACTGCTTTCTGGCATTTCCACCTGCTCTCAGGTTCCTGGGACTCAGTCTGTCTCAGACTGAAGCCATCCCCTTGCCTCCCTGCCAGTGCTGGCCATCCGCCCAAGTGCTAGAGAAAACCCAGGCGTCACCCTTGAGCACTTTTCTACTGCGTCCCCAAACCCAACCAATCATTCATTCACCGTCCTAACGATCTTAAGCATCCCCCTTTGCCTTATGTGCATGGCTCGTTCCCTGCGGCTGCCCTCATCTCTCAGCTCTGTGAATGTGCTCACCTTCCAGCTGCTCTACCTGCCTCTGCCTTTTCCCTCTTGAATCCAGTCTCCACCCTGCACCAGAGTGAGCTCCTGAGGAGTTGAAATTGATACTGTCCCTTCTCTGCTGGTATTCCCCCAGCGACGGCTGTCTCCCTGTGACCTTCAAGGTCCTCTGTGTTCTGGCCCCTGCATCCCATGCCAGCCCCAGGTGGCATCCCCGGCCTGCTGCACCAGGGTCCTCCGGTTCCTTGGGAGTTCGCGCTTTCTCCACCCTTTGGTGCTTTACATATGTTGACTGCTCCTGTATTTCAGGTCCTAGCCAGAGAGCACCTTCTCGATGCCTCCAGCTGGATTAAGATCCCTACAAAGGATCCGCAGGACCCGAGCTTCCCCTCTCGTGGCACCTGCCATACTCTATGGTCTCTCATCTGCTATACTTGAGGTCCTGGCCCGTTCAGCATTGCCTCGCCAGCACCAGCCACGCCGCCTGACATCACTAGACACTCAGTGAGTACCTTGTAATGAATAAATGGGACCCTCAGATGTGCACAGTGGGGCTGAGCTCCTTAACCTACTTTATCACATTTAATTGAATAAAATCAAGATCATTGATCATGAATAATAGTAATTCATGTCTGAACTGATATTTAATATTGATGACACTAAATATGAACAGCACTCTTTGGCTCTCAATTTTTTCATCTATGAAATTCAGAGGTTACATCCCATGCAAGGTCCTTTCTAGTTCAAAAAATCGAAGATAGTCACTCCCAAATTCTATTAAGTGCCAAGTTTTCTCACCTGTATTTTCATCTTTGAGGGTAACCTTTAAGAACTTTAAAATGAATATTAGTTCCTCTTTACTGTGGATGGACAGGTGCCACATGCATAAGGATTCTTGAAGAAAGACCACCTACACACAACACCTCATAAACCACATCTAGTACTTCTTTCACCTGACTTATATGTTAGAAAAAGAGTTCACTATCCTCAGATCTGATATAAAAATAATCATAATAAACACTGTTTCACGGGGGAGTACTCTTAACTCAGTTGTGAGTCTGTACTAACTCTTCCCGGGAATCTTTCTACACACTATCATCCGCTATTTAATGTTAACTTATTTTTGAGAGACAGAGAAAGACAGAGGAGCAGGGGAGGGGCAGAGAGAGAGAGGGCGAAAGAATCCAAAGCAGGCTCCAGGCTCTGAGCTGTCAGCACAGAGCCCGATGCGGGGCTCAAATCCTTGAACTCCAAGATCATGACCTGAGCCAAGGTCAGACACGTAAACAACTGAGCCACTCAGGTGCCCCTGTCATCAGTTTTTAAAATCCTTTTGGGAGGATACAAACAAGTTTAAATATAAGTTATTTTTAAGCACATTCTTGAAGTGGTTTTTTTCTCATTCAGATTAAGCTTCACTTCCTCTCAGATTAAATTAATTCATCCACATCTTCATTATCCAAGAAGTAGTGAGGCACCTGTTCAGTACTTGATAACACAGAAGGCCAAGTAATACAAACATGCCTTACATTCTAGAGATGCTTCTGGAAGGCAGCAGCCCCAGCCTTCAGCCCCCAGTGCTGCGGGCCAGGCCACTGAACTGCCTGCGCTTTCCTATGCTACCTTAAAGGGGCCCCACCTCCATTCTTATAGGCAGCACCGTCAACACTAACCATATTCCCTATGGTTTCTCTCTTCCTATGAATGACACATGGGGGGAGGGGGTGACCCACGCTTCTCTCACTCTCCTTTCAGTGGCCAGTCCCATTATCCAGTGTTCACAGCCTGCTTTTCTCTGTTGGCTAACACTGTTAATACTAAGAAGTTAGACTTTTTGCCTTGGCTGCTGGAATTTGAAAAGGCAAACTAATCATTAGTAATCATAACCATTCAGAGAGGTAACTTCTGCTTCTTTGTTTTTTGTTTTGTTTTACATCGTCTTACCTTTCCCTGATCGAAATTGGAATTCCTCCCAGATAATACGTGCTGAAATCGAATATTTCACCTTCAATTATAATATTTGGAGGATTCCCATTTATCCACATGAGTTTTTGGGCCTTCCTGATTTTTATCTGTATCTAAAATAAATAACAGATGAGTCAGCAAGCAATGGGAAATTAAAGCAATGCTATTCACCGTGGTTCAGGGATATTATGTTTTTATTTCCTTCAGATTCATTATGAACATAGTAAGACTGAACCACAGCACTTTTGGATAAAAATATAATATTAAAACATCTTAATAGAAATGTTTGCATTTGAAATTAATCATGTTTTATATATGCCATATATATGCGTGTGCGTATGTGTATATATACATATACATGCACACACATATATTTCATGCCCAAATATTCAGATTTTGAAAGATGTATCCCTCATCTTTTAATAACTGTTAAGTTAGTCTGGTAATAGAAAAATGTCCTGGCACTGACTCAATTCTAAAGGGCTGAGGACATTTAACAATTCACGTGAGCATACTCAAAGGATGTACCGAGTGGTCTTTTCCGTCGTTGACAGTGTGGGTACCTCCTTGTTCTTTTGGTGGCTCTGAATTCAGTTTGTACCGCACCAGGAGTTTGCCATCTTCTATATTTAGAGATATGAAGTGATCCTAGAGCACGGAAACAATGTAGATTACCAGAAGATTCCACCGAAGACTACCTAGAGGGCTGGAATTCAGGTTACTCTCAAGTTACAAACTGTTCTCAGCTTCAGCCACCCCCTCAGTTAACAGGGACAATAGTGCTGTAATATCCCATTGCTGGGATGGGTATGATGGTTAAATACTGTGAGTGGTGTTCGACATCATGCACAGTGGCTGGCCCACAGGAAAGACACTAAATGTAGCTATTATCATGATTTTGTTTCATACGCTCCATAAGGAGCATGTGCGAATGGAAAGTGAAAAGACAGATCATTAATATCATTTACAAAGATGGCTGCTACCTTTTACAGGTATGGCCCCAGACGTTTGCCACCATCTGCTTGCTGACTTATTGCTATGTGTCCATCTCATTTGCTGGCTCAACCCCCTCGAGCATCCCATCCTTCCATTTGAGTATGAAGGGATCCCCGAGGGCCCTAAGAGGACCTCGTCTTCCCTTCCACCCTCTCTCTGCCTCAAAGTTAGAGTCACTTCTGTAGCCCCAATGCATGTGTGTGCCCACGAAGCCCAGATGCTTCTCTCCAGCCTAGACCTGACTTCCCAGGGCCAGATCTGCACATCTGATTACTTTATTGTTACTGCACACACTCAAATTCTGAATATCTCAAGCAGAGCTTGGGATCTACTTGCCTCTCCATGCCTCTCAGCTGCCAAGCCTGACTCTCTGCCCTTCCCACCACTCTCTCCCCTCCTTTTGCTCTCTCACCAGGAATCCCCTTGCTGAGCCAGCCACAAATCTACTAGGAGTCACTCTTAATCATTTCTCTCTTCCAATCAAATCTTGTCGGCTCCACCATTTCTTAACTCTCTCCATTTCATGTCACCGAGTCTCAGCCACACTTCTCTTTTTTTATTAATATTTTTAAGCTTATTTTGAGAGAGGGAAAGAGTGAGTAGGGAAGGGACAGAAAGGAAAAGAGAACCCCAAGTAGGCTCTGCACTGTCAGCATAACTCATAAACCATAAGATCATGACCTGAGCCAAAATCGGACACTTAACCAATTGAGCCCCCCGGGCGCTCCTCAGCCACGCTTCTTTAGCTGCACTACACAGCAATAATGCACTGTCCTTCCCACATCTGCTCTGTCCCTTTTTTTAAATTTATTTATTGATTTTTAGAGAATGAGACTGCTCAGGGGAGGAGCAGAGAGAGGGAGAGCAGTCTCCACACTTAGTGCAGAGCCCAACACTGGGCTCGAACCCATGAGCAGTGAAACCATGACCTGAGTCAAAGTCAACAGTCAGATGCCCAACCGACTGAGCCACACAGGCACCCCCATCTTGCCACTTGCCACTCTGTAGCGAGACAGCTAACTCTGTGGCAAATGTCAGTGCAGGCCTGTTTCATCATCCTCCTTTGCTCTCACGACAGAGCCCTGACTGCCCAGCACATGTTGTGAGGCTCTGATCACCCCTTCACCTTTGTTTCTCCATGTTCTCTCTCTGTGCTGCAGCCACAAGGGCCACCATTCTGTCCCTGAGTGCCCCCTGCCCTTCCCACTTCCAAGTCTTCTTTGTGCTTCATTCCCCATAGGGATCACCCTTCTGCCCTGTCTTCAAATACTGTCTTCTGCTTTCCTCCAGGTCTCAGATTATCCATCCTTTGCTCAAGAAATTCTTTTATACATCTTCATTCACCCCACACTTTTCCTCTATACCACTCATGGCCATTGTGATGCATTAATGAACCCATGAATGAGTATGGCTTTGTTAAACGTGTCCTCCCTTCTAGAATATAAGGTCCTTGAGGGCAGGAGCTGTGTCTGTCTTGGCTGTAACTGCATCCCAATCACTGCATAGGGCCCATACTTGAAACAGATCTTTCCTTAGAAAGATATGCTGAGGAGCGCCTACGTGACTCAGTCAGTTAAGCATCTGACTCTTGATTTAGGCTCAGGTCATCATCTTGCGGTTCATGGGTTTGAGCCCTGCTGTTAGCACGGAGCCTGCTTGGGATTCTCTTTCTCTCTCCCTGCCCCTCCTCACTCTCTCTCTCTCTCCCTCTCAAAATCAATTAAATGAACTTGAAAAAATGATACACTGAGGAATTTCTGATATAGGGCTTGAAAGTTTATTCTTCCACAGTTCCCTAATGACAAGAGGGCCTCTTTTGGAAGCTTACTGACAGAGTCCTTACTTAAAAGGAACATCAGTCCTTATTTCAATCCTAAACCTTGTTCTTGGGAGCCAGTCAGGGTTCATTACCCTCAAAACAACAGAGTCACATCGACTCAATGAGTAATGAGCATAGCAATGCTCAAAATCATTTTCTCTTCTCTGGTTACGAATAGCATTCCATATATTTTCTTCTCATATGAATAGCATTTCTGGTTCTCAGTATCCAAGAACTTCAAAGTGTAGTACAAAGAAGACCTTGTTTTGGAAAACAACCACCTGAAGATGTTAGGTGACTGCTCAGCTCCCTGCATTCTATAGGTAGGTCAGGACCTTCCCAAACGCTCCGAACTGGTTCATCCTTTGAATCTCCCAGAGGGTCAAGACTAGTGTCAGAGAGGAAGGTTGGATCAGGTCTGTATCCCCAGCCTGCAGGTGGGAGGGGCTGGTCAAACCCCCTTATCAATCCCACGTTCTCAGACAGAGATCCCATGGACTGACCCACAGAGCAGCCATAGAAGGCAGTACTTTCCAGGAGCGGTCAAGCCAGGTCCATCCCCCAGCAGATGGCGCTGACCATCACTTAGAGAGTCCCTTTGGATTTCTCCAAACTAGACTTAAGAATGGCCTCCACAAACCATGAGAGACTCTTGAATGCTGACAAAAACTGAGGACTGATGGATGTGGGGGGGAGGGGGGGATGGGCATGGAGGAGGGCACTTTGGGGATGAGCACTGAGTGTTATGTAGAAACTAATTTGACAATAAACTATTTGTAAAAAAAAAAAAAAAAAAAAAAAAAAAAGAATGGCCTCCAGAAACCTCAGCTGCCTGAAAACAGAGAAGCTTGCAACTCTTGGGAAGCCAGGGATCAAGTGATAGAGACGTACTTCCACGGTCTGGTGAGAGTTGGACTAAGATGCAAACAGCAGGAAGTCAAACAGTCTGGCTCTCAGAGGCCCTGGGAGGTCATGGCCTGATTTTAGGCCAAATACATAGATTATGAGGCAAACAGCAATAAAACCGGCAATGGCATGTTTGGGGGGCACGTTCTCAAATTCTCAATTACTTGCTTCATGAAAACATACACTCCCATAGTCAAAGAAAGCAGCGTTGGGCCAAGAGAAAAGATGCAGGTAACACTTGAACATTTTTTCAGATCTAGTTAGTTCTTTTTAAACACCCAGCTACCCTGAAGTTGCTGAACCGAATGGACATATTCAGTCATGTTTGATGTTTACCATAGAATACCTGGTTTTCTGCAAAGAACAGCAAACCTCTATCCACGGTGGTTTGAATCGTTTGTGAAAAGGTTGGGAAGGGAGCATTTGGTTGAGTTGGAATTCGAGCATAGCCTGTACCTTCAAAATAATTTTTGTCTGATTCCTCCTTTCTCCTGTCAACATAAAGGACGACATGTTAGAACACAGCAGCAAAGGACCACCACTCAAGAGGGCTTATTAATAGGAGATGCTGCTATCTACAACACAGAGCAAAGCCTGCACAACATAGCTGTCATGATTTTGTTAAAGAGAAAACATCTTTAGAATGTTAAAATAGCTAGCTGTTTGTCCTGGAGGTGATCTTATACTCTATGGAAATCAAACCCTAGCTCAAAAAAGTTAACAGTTACAGGGCACCTGGGTGGCTCAGTGGGTTAAGCATCTGACTCTTGATTTCAGCTCAGGTCATGATCTCACAGTTGGTGAGATCAAGCCCCACATGGGGATCTGCATTAGTGCACAACCTGCTTGGGATTCTCTCTTCCTCCCTATCTCTCTGCCCCTCTCCCATGTGCACATGCTCCCTCTCTCTCTCAAAATAAAAATAAACTTAAAAAATATATAAATACTTTTAAAAAAGATAATAGTTAAGAGTCTCCTCATAACTGTTTATTTAGGAACTATCTACTTAGCAAGATGTGGCCTCGCAGCTGAAGACTTTGAAATGTAAAAAATTGTTAACTTGAAATATAAGTTTATTCTGAGTAATAAACAGTCTGTCCAAATCCTTTTAACTCTAGGGAAGTCAGGAGCTCAAGACAGCAATTTTCAAAGAGGTCCAGGTGTCAGAGTCATGGTGCCCTTTGCAGACAAATTTTTTTTTTTTTGCAACATAAATATATAATATTGTGTCCGAATCAGGTACCATCTAATACTGAATATTTTGTGGTAGGAGGCACCAAACATTTAAGAAGGGTTTCTTTTTTTCAAAATGGAGAAAACTCCATAGATCTAGTGTTTTATGCCAATGAAGAAACTTTAGGAGTGGTTTAGCAGTGTGGCATGCAATCATAATTTCAGATCTATTGGCCTAACGCTATCCGTGATATCAACCACATCTTACTGGCCCACTCCCTTATGATATGTAAAATAACTGCAAGTTACCAAAATCACAGTTACAGAGACACTGGTTCCTGGTTTTATTTACCTTCTACAAGGCTCTACTTCAGTTGTGTTGAGATTGAAGGTTTTTTTGAAGTTGTACAAGCTCAGAACATTTTCATTGAGGTCATCCAGTTCAATACAACCTTTGTATGGAGGGAACCTCAGTCTAGCAGGAAGCTAAACAAAGGAAACAGGAAACCTAATTCAATCAGGTCGACCAAGAAACAGTATGAATCCATCACTTTTAACTGTCCCTGTAGCATAGGGGACCTTGGACACAGGGACCCTGGCTTTGCTACTCATCAGATGCCTGACCTTGGGCAAGTTCTTAATCCTCTCTGTCTCAGTTTCCTCATCTGTGAAATGGGAATAGTGATAATGCCTTTAAATAATAATTAACTTAAATTAATATGCTTATATCTAGATCACTACACAGAGGAAGTGCTCGAGAAGTGTTAGCATTTATCCTTGGATATGCTTTAAGAATAGCTAGTTAAATCCATTTCTATATAATGGATAATTAAAATAGAGATGGGGGTCATTATGCCAAATTAAAATTTAAATATTTTCAGTCCGTGAAATAACATTGACACTTACTCTAAAGTCAGATGGGTAACCTCCAACATAAAATACAACATCTTCAGGATCCAGATTGAGGAGGGTGTTGCTATTTCCACTATCCATTTCATGGAATTGGGATATTCCGGGTTTACTGGATGTGGCTTTTTTGGTGTAACTGAGCCTTGCAAACTGATAAATTCTGTTTAAAAATAAATAAAGTATATTTTTAAATTATACAAAAATTGAAGAAGTCAAAGTCAAGATACTGAAAATGGGGTTCAGCAGTACATACCACGGGAGTTTGGCGAGTGTGGGTCAGATTAAGAAAGAGCAGTGGTCAGTGGGACTCGTACCTCTGAAATTTCACCCGGTCCATAACTGCCTCCTGAGTTTCGCTCTCAGTCAAGCTCTGGTCCACTTGGAGTTCAGACTCCTGCTCTCCCAGGTTGTAGACACACGTAAGCCTGCCGTCTACAACCGCCATGCCGATGTAGTCCCTGGAGGCCTGGAGACAGAAAGGCCACCTCAGCGCACTTCACACGCATACTGTGTCTCTGCACTCCCCATCCCAGGAGAGTGTATCTCAAATATCTAATGAGTTTTACATAATAAGCCTTGGGAAGATGGAATGAATGGGGTACCTCCTTGCACAGAATATACAGACAGAACAGTTAAGTAATAATGCCTGCACGCTCTTTGCTCTTGGTTTTTTGCATGCACATATTCACGCCCCCATCCACTCAATCTCCAAATATTTGCTAAGCACTTGCTATAAAGATGAACCGGATATGGACTCAGGTCTCCACTAGAGTGTAGTCTGGAAAGGGAGATCGGTCATTTTTGTTCTCCCTGTACTGTGTGAGGATCTTTTAACACTTTGTGCCTGCCTCTGTTATAACAGCTAGAGCCTGTGGGGCGCCTGGGTGGCTCAGTTGGTTAAGCGTCCAACTTCGGCTCAGGTCATGATCTCGCAGTCATTATCTTGTGGTTCATGGGTTCAAGCCCCATGGCAGGCTCTGTGCTGACAGCTCAGGGCCTGGAGCCTGTTTCAGATTCTGTGTCTCCCTCTCTCTCTGACCCTCCTCTGCTCATGCTGTCTGTCTGTCTGTCTGTCTCTCGAAATAAATAAAACATTACAAAAAATTAAAAAAAAAAATAACAGCTAGAGCTAGAGCTGATATAGGCATCGTCACGGTCAGCTACATACATACCTGTCTTCTCTGTTAGAATAGGGCACCTAGAGTACATGGGACATTTTCAGATTGTGGCAAAAGGCACACACAACATGAAATTTACATTCAAGACACAATTTTCACTTATCATAAATACAGGGTGTGGCACCCTGGAGGCAGATGGTACAAATCTGTTGAAGGAATAAAGTAATGTGCATCTTGTCACATACAAAGCAGAAAGTCATGTCACAACAAAGCTACAAGTAAAGTACCAACACTTTAAAGCATGAGAGAGTGATTAATAATAGTGTCAATTTTAGGAACCTTTAAATACCACATATGCTAATGACAGCCAACTTTCTAGCTGCCTAGAATTTTCCAGAACCATGTTTCAGACATTTTTTTTTACCCCTAGTCATTATATGCTAAACCAGGCAGTGATTACCTTTTCCTCTGACACTTAAGTTGAAGAAATATACTTAATAATAATAAATATTTCCTGTTGTTTCGGACCACTAAGTTTAGTGGCCATGCAGCAAGTATATCACCAACATTAAAAAAAACCCCAAACCATATTGTTTTAAAAATAAGAGAAATGCCAAAGCAATACTTACATCTTTATTCCCGAGGTACATCACGAACATATTCTCAGTACCCCCAGTCTCTCTTGATTCAGGTCTTTGGAGAAACAAAGAAAGAGATGTATATCCTTTCAAGTCATCTAGGTCATTTGGCAGCCGGACTTCAACTCCAGATTTACCATTGAACCTCATGGGGACGGCAACCTGTGAGGGAAAAGAGCTAGAGCACTAGCCATTCTCCTGTGAGGAAAGGGGGTGTGCTCGGAGTGGTAGCCTGGGCCTCTGACGTGAATCCTTTTGGCTCTAGATCAGTTGTTATGAAAAGAGCAAAGGAGGGTGCATGTCTCTTATAAACTCATGAAGCAAAGGAGGGTGCATTCTTATAAACTCATGAAGCCGTTTCAGGGGCTGGGTAATAAAGCATCCATGTTCTTCCTGTTTATCGGCCAAGGGTCTTTGAGAAGTGCATCTAATTCTCTGTGCCAGAAATGAAAATCATCATTATTCTCAGAGCTGCAACTAGGAGGTTTTCGTGCAGATGAGCTAACGTGTGGAAGCACTTAGCATGGTGCTTGGCGTGTAGCTGATATATAATACATCAAAAATCTATTTTTAATGTTTCTTTTTTTCTAGGAGAGAGAGAGACAGCGTGAGCAGGGGAGGGTCAGAGAGAGAGGGAGTCACAGACTCAGAAACAGGCTCCAGGCTCTGAGCTGGCAGTCAGCACAGAGCCCGACGCGGGGCTCGAACCCACGAACCGCGAGATCATGACCTAAGCGAAAGTCGGACGCTTAACCGACTAAGCCACCCAGGCGCCCCCAAAAATATTTTTAAAATAAATCCTTGAAGGAATAATTCCCCATGAATATATTACATGTTATGGTTGCATTTGTCAGTCCTTAAAAATGAGTGCCTCAGGGCTCTCTAAAAATAGTGAGCCCAGAAATCAACCACAGTGCCTTTAGGGCAGTGATATTCTGACTTGGCTTCCCAACCCTCTGTCTCCAAATATCTCATAGGGGGCGGATGAAAAAAAGCAAGGTGTTTCAGTAATATTATTTTAGGCCAAAACAAATTCTGATAGACAAGTGGCAGGAATTCAAGTAAATATTGTCAAATGAAAATAACAAAGACTGATGAATTTGTGTTCCAATGAAGACAAATTGCTATAATCCTGTGTTTAGATCACCGCCCTTGATGGCAGGAACCATTCCTCCATCCTCAATAAAGGTGGATTCTCTAACTTTCAAGTTATAATAAGAAAGTAGGTGCTGTGCAGTGTCACATTGGCACATTCTGCTCACAGAACCCTTCCTTGAACTTGCAATAACACTTCAGCAGCTGGGGCGTGGAGGAGAACCCTTCTTCCTGCCTGCATAAACTCAGTGGGAGGACACTGCTTCTGGTCTATGACGTTCCAGATCATTTAGGGCATGGAGGTAATGTACACTTTTGAAGGATGACAGGAGGAAGTCAACTTTCACATGCCAAACAACTAAAGGATTAGAGAAAGAAAGACAACCAGTTTCTGTGTAAATAAATGCCTTCCCTTTCTTGATGACTGTGCTAACTTCTCAAAGAAAGAGCCTTAATCACTGGCAACGTGGGGACACACCTACCTTATTTGCAGCATCTCTGGCCTGCTGAATTAGCTCCCGGATACGGTCCACATTGTCAGAGATGTTGCCCAGTGGCAACAGCTGTTGGTTGATACTTTCAATCTTGCTCAAAAGGTCAGGCAGTTTGTTGGTTAATTTCTTCACTGTTGATGAGATTACAGAACAGAAACTTATAATTGTGAGTTGATACAGGTTAAATACAAATTTTCTCATTGACGATATTTGTCAAGTGTTACATTTGGGTCCCAACTATTGGACAGGATGACTCAGAGTCAGGGGATACCTTCCCTAAACACATTGTGGATTTTATCCTTCCTAGATATCCAATCATCTTTCTTGACTGCTACAGAAGAAAAGAAGTCTTTATTTTTTTGATTCTTAATATCAGTTGTAATTTAATACCTCATGTTTAGGGGACCTAGATCTCCACTCTATAAAAGGGAAAATCAATAGGAATGTTAACGGATGAAAAAAAAAATCCTACCTAGACTTTCTAATAGAATACCCATATTCTTTGAATGTATTATGTGAAGTTGCTTTCTAATATTTTAATTTCTAATTTCAGACTTTATCAGGGAAGAATTTACATAAATTGACCAAAGCACATAACAATGGAAAAAATGGATAATATGTCCTGGCTGAAGAATGCCTGATACCTGAGTTATCTGCGTCAGTGAGAGCCTTGTTGAAGTCTTCACTCTGTGTGCTCCCATAGGTGTCCTTAATTCTTGCCACATCTATTTCAATGGGGCTGAGCTCATCTAGAACCTCATCTGTGATGTCGTTGGCATTTCTGACCATGCTCTTTGCATTGCTGATCATATCATTGATGTCATCTAATGCACACACAAAGAAGGAGGTGTAAATATCTGAAATGGTCGACAAAAGAAGCCAAGTACAGTGGGTAGGGAGATGCTGACCTCTCTGTATTCCACGGAGGTCATCCCAGATGGCAGTGATATTGGTATTGATCAATCCTTTCTGAACTGTTATAACTTTCAGAGTTTGCTGTAGGTTGTTGAGAGCCGGACTGATTTCTAAAATAAAATAAAGCATCATGAGACAATTACCCTATAGATTTTGATCCTTCATTGGTATTGGTGGCCCCTGAAGTAGCCAGCATCTGCAGAGCTTTGAGCAGACCTGCATCTCAGAGATGCCCACTATATGTGCCTTAGACCCACAGCTCCAGGGACCTCTAGTTACAGAGGCCAGGAGCTTGCCTGAGCCTGTGGTATCAGGCTGCTTGGAAATGCATCATGAAGAAAGGGAGAGGCTTAATCATTTAGGGGCAGTTTAACTTCCATTTTGGTCAGGGCAAATGTCTCTGCTTAGTGAAGGAAAGGGATGTGACTGTCTTATTCGTGGCTGTGTCACAGTGCATTGTCTGGCACTAGTCTGAGCTTTATATTACTCACACTTACTGAATGAATGAATGAATGAATGATGCAGAAAGGATGCCTCTTCAGTTGGAATATAATAAAGGAGTGCTGTTGAGAGAGCCTCATCCAAGCAAATGCACTGGCAAAATAGGCATTGTATGTTTCTGTCCAGTTCCAACTGATACATTTAAGAGGATTCAGGGAAAAGGAAGGAGTTCACAGACATTCCTAGTTGATAACGTTGCCACTTTGAGGTAATGGAAAACGACCAGTGAATGCTTTAAGACCTAAGTGATGATATATGGTTTAAATTATGATTCCAGGACTGATTTAAATAACAATGTAGACAAATATCCTATGATCTCTCTTATATGTGGAATCTAAAAACATTCCCTAAATACAGGGAACCTATTAGTGGTGGCCTGAGCCCCAGGGTGTAAAGGGGATCAAAAGGTAAAAAGAAGCAAGTAGGCAAGCTGGTAGGAAACGAAAGAAAAAAATGTCAATGTAGTTAAGCATCCCAACCCTACTTAAAACACCGATCCTCACCTCTTAGCTCATACTTTGTAAAGGGAAGAGATGTCATACCAGGAAATTTTAATTTCTGCAATTTGCTAATAAGCAAATTGTTCTATGTTAATACGTATTTTTTGTAGGCAATGTTTCATGTACCTAATTTTTAAACATGAAAAAGGATAAATATATTTATTTACTGTCAGAAGGCATCTAATCCCTCAAAAATGCTGATATAGTTTCTTGGCCATCAGTGACCAAAAGAGACCAGAGAAAATCAAGAAACACCATTTTCAGAACACCAGAATTTGGTGAGATGAGATGGTTTAATTGTTTTGTAAAAAAATTAAATACATGGACATTTTCAAAGATAAAATGTATGATTCAAAAATTCCCATGCTTCAAAGTGGTAGTGACTTTTGGTACTTTTACTTACTAGCATTTTAGGACTAAAGAAATGTTGGAGCTCTAGTGACCTGAAACTATTATCTGGGCCTTAAATGAGAAAAACTGGCCCTGCACATAGTTCTATGCTGTGTGAGTTCCCAATGTCATGGTCACTGATCACCTTCACGATTTATGTATATTCATGAGGTTCTAGTTAACTTAGTATATGTTAGAATACGGGGTGGAAACATAAAATCTATCAAATAGACCACGGATCTACAACGTATCATCTGCCTTGACACTGAGATTCAAGAAGAGCATTTGCTTCTAGAATTTGCTGCTTCTCCTGGTCTTAACAGGATATTTTCAAACCCTTGCCTATCTCAGCCTTCCCTTCCTCCCCACCCCCCAAGCCCCAATACCTTGCCGTAGCTTCTTCTGTGTGAGCTTGGCTTCCTTTAATAGTTTATCACTGTCAGAACTCAGGATTTTCGCTTTTCTTGGAAGACCTTCCTTTATCACCGTCTGAAAGCAAAGCATTTATCAGCCTTAAGCATGTAGCATTCCTTTGGAAATGTGGAGTAAGATTTTTTCATCCTACTCTAAAAGCCCTTATTGTTAATCTTTAAAGGATGAGGTTTAAAGGTGAGGGGGAAGTTTAAAAAGACTGTTCCTTAAAGGATACAGTTGGCGCTGTACGCAGGGATGTGTGGTTTGGGGAGGGAGATACTTCCTTGGTGACATACTGACAAATTATGTGATGCTGTCTCAATTTGCTCCCTGTAGTTTGTACAATACCCTCTTTAATAACTGAAGAAAGAAAAGAGTTGCTTTTAGGTTTTTAGTATTTGGGAGATAAAGGTCTTTAACCTTCTGAGAAGGCCTATCCCCTAATTTTTTGATATTTAATATTTTGTGCTTTATTTTTAGATATGGGAGTATTATATGGTACATATAAGATCTCATAGGACTCCAAGACATGCCCAGGTGTTAAGACAAATGACAGGAAATAAATGGTTACCAAATTGTGTACAAAAATCTCCCTCTTCTTTGGGAAATGCCAATACTTAATCAGCCTAAAATCATATCTAGGAAGAAGCAAGATACACCACTCATCTTGGCTTGATGTTGGTATCAGTATAATTTCTATTTGGTTTTACAAATGGCTTTTAAAACTGTGCTACATCTATCAAAACAGTCAGGTAAACACAGAAATGATCCACATTTGAGCAAGTCCAATGACCTTGAGCAAGTTCAAGCCTATTCTATATAATAAGTTCTGATTTAAAATAATGCTTGTTTATATTCCTCAGTGCACATGAAAAGAAAGTGAGACGAGTCATCTCCAGAGTGCATCCAGAAAAGGTGCCAGTGCAGGTGCCCACCTGGAGGGCAGACTCAGATGCACTGGTGGCCTTGTCGGCCGCATCCTCAGCCGCTCTGATGGCATTGAGGATGTTCTCGTAGGCGGTGGCAGCATCTACGGCACAGCGCACCAGCTCATCCCCACTGGCATTCCTCTTGATCCTGGAAGACAGAGTGGGTGAAGGGCTCCAGCAGCCCCTGCCTGCGGCTGAGGGGCCCTTTGCCCTCCCCCCTGCAACCCACCTCCGCCTCCTTGATGAGCCTCCTCATCTGACAAATGGAGACCTGAGCTGGCAAGGATGCATCTGGGAATCACACCCTCAGCACAGCTTGGGTTTGGACCTGGGCCCTGGGTCCTGCCCGCCACCCCTCCCCCCCCACCCTTTCTGGGGCCCCAGCTCGGTAGGTCGGGGAGGCTTTCACAGTAGGCTCCAGCAGTCCCTACAGTTAGACATGGGGGTCACTCACTCCTCCAGCTGCTTTGCCAGCTTCTGTAAAGACTGCGCGTGTGTTTCTGCCTCCACCACCAGAGAGGTTTTGCTGGCTGACTGGGAAAGTTCTCTCACTTTGTCACTTAGTTCACGTCTTTTTTCATTTAAAGTGGCAGCTAGTTTTTCATATTCCTATTTTTTTCAAGTAAACAGAGACAGTGTCACTTTAAGAATGTATATACCATTTTCTCGCACTCTGTCATAAACTTCATGTTCCCAGGACAAGTTCTTTCACTAGTGGCACTGATAACATTTTTCCAAGTTTTACCACCATTTGAACAATTTTCTTAGGGTGGGTGCCCCCTCTGATAAATTTTATAAAAGCACACTGTCATCATTAGCGTAAAGTTGTACTAAACCAAAACCTCTTAATTTTCTGATCCAGAAATAGCGATTATAGAAGATATTTGCAAAATGCCCATGGGGCTGTCGACGTGGTCAACCTTTTATGAGTCCTAAATATGTTCTGCTAATAAAAGCATGCTTGATATTTTAAAAAGAGCATTCCAATTTTTTTTTTTTGTTGTTATCACAATAGTAACATCTGCTCCTAGTGGGCTAATTAAGTAATACATATAGACATACAAGAGGACACATCATTCACACCCCCCATGCCCCAAGGGTATTACTATGTATTACTATGGTAATAACATCTTGGTTGATTTCCTTCCATCTAAAAGACATGTACTGAAGAAAAAAAATACAAGTTAGCCCAGTTCAGAGTTTCCTTGTATCGAATGTTAATGTTCTTCAGTGTTCCAGAGAACAAGCCTGCCTCTACCTCCTGGCTTTTCCGCATCAGCTGCAGCTGGGTGTTTGTCTGCAGTAAGGATGAGTCTGCGGTGGTTAGGAACTTGGTGAAATCACTCTGGAGGGAATTCATTTCTTTAACTTGTCTCTGGAGAGAAGAAAAAGAACACCTGTTTGAACTACGTGGTATACGACCAGGACAACCACACACAAGTCATTTCAGAGTCACAACGTTTTCTGGAAACCGAAAGACCATGCAGGTGACTACAAAGTGCAGGGTAATCAGCTCACTTTGCTGTCTGGGTGTGTTGTCACGGTTTCCCCAAACTACATGCCCACCAAACAACAGTCCGCACCGTTCGGGAAGCTTTCTAAACCAGGGGCAACTGGGCGAGTGAGGTGGACAGGTAAGTAAGCTCTGGTTTGTGAGGCCGCATAAGGAATTTTCTGAACAAATCAGCGCCAGTCATCATGACGCTCTACATGCATGAGGTTGGAGAGGCACTCCAACAAGAGGGCACATAGGATCTGCGAAGTCAGGCTAGGAGGCGCCAAAGCTCACGCACCCATAAAGTCGGATCGTGCTCCCTTCCCTTGGCATCATCAGTGACTTCCAACAGCCGTCTAAAGAGGCTGTGGGAGTTAAGCATATTGCCATCGACTAAGATATTATTTATTTTCTTTGACCAAGTGCTTCTTTTGGGGGGTCAATCCTACATTATTCCACTTTGATCTTACTGTCATTTAAGAACGCCTCACATTTGTGTTGCTGTTTCAGCATACAGTGTGCACCCCTGAAAAAAAATACTATAGAATCTGGAGCTCCAGATTCTGTCTCTGCAGCTTCCACATGAGGCCTTAATCTATTTCCTGTAAGATAATGGCTTAAAATGCCCTTGCCGGTGATTAGGATAATGATGTTTACACAGCTGACACGAAAAGTCAGTTATTTAAGACATATATTATATACTTTGATTTAATTATAACAATATTGGTTTAATTTCTCATCTACTTGGTGATGCTATTCCTCCAGTACTCCTCCATCAGCCAGGGGCAGGACTAAAGCAATTTGCTCTGCTTTCTCTGTGGTTTAAGTTCACAATCATTTCTAGTGAATAGGGAGTAGGAATAATTTTGGTTTTGCATTTAATCCCTTATTCCCATTTGATTAGCATTTGCTGTACAGACAGGTGCCTGGCTCTGCTGCTTTATTAATGATAAAGATCCCTGCCCCCCCTCATCTTTGTCATTAATAAAAGTGTGCAGATTCTGATGGTAAACCCACCTTGATGGATTCCAAAGTCTTCTCGTTTTCTCGGTTGAGGCCAGTGGCCTGCTTTGCTTGGGCAGTTGCCTCTTGTAGTGTGGCACGCAGATCACCGAGTTTGGTTTCGTACTCATTTAAAGCATCCCGTATGTTCTTGACAAGTGCGCTGTTCTCCACTTGGTGGTTTTCAAGCCAGCTCCGTATCCGATTCAGCACTGAAATATATCACTTTTTGTTTTTCACTGGAGAGATGAGTACCTCTAAGCTAAGCTATGAAGACTACTGAGGAAGAAAGGAGCTTCTGCTCATTTCATGGTTTTCCTTGAACTTGCAAGTGAATGAGGAAGGAAACTAACATTTATGATGCACCTGCTGTCTGCATTGCTGTGTGTGCACACATAACCGCATGAAAACAATAATAGCAGGCTCATGTTTCAGAAATGCAAATGGGGAGCCCGAGAAATTAGGTGACTGATCCAATGTTGCATGACCGATCAGCCTTGGCACTTGAACAAGATCTGCAGAGGATAAAGCACCGTGCTCCAAACACTACTATTAACACTACCAACTAACCTACTACTAGCTACTATTACTAACTACTATTAACTGCAAACTCACACTGTTTCCTCAGTCAAAAGCAAAGACTAATATTAAATTTAAACAATACAAATACCAAAAGAAAACTGCTACCATCTGCATATTAACTATTCAGACATCATTTTACCAGAGAAGAAAGAACAGTATTTGAAAAAATATGCACCAGACATATTACTCACAGTTTTGAACTAAGGAGGCATTTTCCCTAAGTAAAACCTTTAGATATGTTCCTTTAATTTCTACTACAGTTTTTGGTTTCGGCAATAGTAGTGCTGATATCAAATTGTGATTTAAGACCCCTGCGCTGGTGAGGTGACCATTAAAATATGATATAATGAGAAAGCTGGATGGAACTGAATGAAGAATAAAAATGCAGTTAAAATGGAAAAGGAGGTGTCAGTGCTGTTATCTTAGGAGAAGAACCTATTTTTTTTTCTCACATAATGGTAAGATGTTATATTCTACAACCTCTTGGTAGCCTGCAGGAGCTACCCATTCTCACATCATGCTCTAAAAGCCATGTACATTGGGGCACCTGGGTGGCTCAGTCGGTTAAGTGTTGGGCTTCGGCTCAGGTCATGATCTCATGGTTTGAGTTTGAGCCCCGCATCGGGCTCTATGCTAACAGCTCAGAGCCTGGAGCCTGCTTCGGATTCTGTGTCTTTCTCTCTGCCCCTCCCTTGCTCATGCTCTGACTCTCTCAAAAATAAGTAAACATTAAAACAAAAATTTTTTTAATAAATAAAAAAAGTTGTGTATGCTGAAATGACTAACCTAGCCACCTGTGACTGGGGACCTGACATAGACTTTGCACAGTGTACCTCACACCCATTAGAGTGGGTTGCACGCAAGGATTTGGGAACATGCTTACAGAGCTGAGCCTCTCTTTTGTCTGCTTCTGCTTCTCTCAGGTGCTTTCCAAAGTTGCGGCTCTGGAGCTCTGTCATCATGCGCTGTGCTTCAGCGAACTCTCTGGAAAAATCCCCCGACGGCACATTGTTTCCTTCCCCATCTGTCCCAGAGATCTGCTTCAGGAAAACTAGAAAATATTGAGTAGTTTATTAAACTGGGAATTCTTGGGCTCCAGAAGACTACTAAAAAAAAAAAAAATTCAGGGATTTTTATGGAAGGTTCATATTAGTTTTTTAGTATCACTACAGGATCTTTTTCATAATGTTGAACTCTTAAGGAGAAATTCTTTCAGGGCGTTGGTCACAGAATAGGCTACGTAATAAAAAAATAATTAATTGGATTGAGTAACTCCTTACTGTGCACATTCCGGATGACATTTTTAACCTTTGTGTCCAGCTCCTTTGCGCTCTGGGTTGTCTGATCAACATTGCTTTGTAACGTTTGTGCTTTTCTGGAATTTACTTCAACCTATATGAAAAATAAATTGACTAGTAACAAATTATGTTGATGGGGGTTGTAAACTAACAATATTTTGAGGACAACAACAACAAGTTAACATTATTGACCTAACACATTACCTTTTCTTGCAAAGCTTCAAACTCTCGATTCAAATTGCTCAGTTCTTTTTCCAGACCATCCATTTTTAATCCGTGATTTGAAATGGCAGAAAGGTAGTTGAGTAACTGATTCTGAAAGTAAAATGCAAAGTTAATCTCGCATTAGAGCAGGAATTTGGAGTAAGTCCTATCAACTTGGTAATCCTGGTGGTGATATGGAAAGATTCATTTAGCAAGCCCAATGCTGGCCCACAGGAAATGATTTGATTCTTTGAAATCAGCTACTTGAAGAATCTACTTTCTGCTGTGAGTTGTGATATGGTTCTAAAATAAAATTATAAACATAAAAAGACAAGAGATACTTTTCTTGAGTCAGTAACTGAATCTCATAGAAATGAAGAAATGAGGATACCTCTTACCTGATGTATTATTTTCTAGACTCTACAAAACACTCAGTTTTTCAACCCATATTTAACATTATAAGACTAAAAGCAGTGCCTGAGGCTAATTCAGTGAAGGAACCATTAGATTCGAAGAATTTTGCAGCAGGAAGGGAACTAAGAGCTCATTTAATTGAATGCTTTCATATTACAAATGAAAAAACAGAAGCCCAAAGAAGTTGGGTGACTTGTGCACCCCATGGCTTGCAGAGATGATCACTGATTGATTAAGGATCAGAATCCAGGTCCCCTGTTTTTTTGGGGGGTACTAAACTGTTTCCTTACTTTTAGAGGGTGACATTCCTGTGTATAATATCTAAAGTAGTAATTATCTTCTAATTTTTTGGGAAAAAAGCCTTGTTAAAACCTTGAAGAAATTTACAGGAAGAAGCTGTACTATTATCTCTACTTGCATGCAAGAGAGCCAGTATTGCGGGGGGGGGGGGGGGGGGGGCAGGCTTTACAGCTTAGGTGCAAACACTAGGTCTGCAGCTTTGTAGATGAGCCTCGCTGAGTTTTATCTCCATCGGTAAATTGGGGATTCTAATATTAATTAAGCTGCTGGGTTGTTTGCATGGTATTATCAAGTGTCATGTACACATGAACATTCAAAAAATGTTATTTCCCTTCTCATACTTATTCCTGGTGAGTTTTCACAGAGTATGTGTGATCTAGCAAGAAGACAGTTCTATTTTAATTTAATTTAATTTAATTTTTTATAGTTTATTGTCAAGTTGGTTTACATATAACACTCAGTGCTCATCCCAACTATTTTAATTTTAACATAGGAAAGGGGCGTCTGGGTGGCTTAGTCAGTTAAGCGTCCGACTTTTGCTTAGGTCATGATCTCGCGGTTCGTGGGTTCGAGCCCTCCGTCGGGCTCTGTGCTGACTGCCAGCTCAGAGCCTGGAGCCTGTTTCAGTCTGTGACTCCCTCTCTCTCTGACCCTCCCCTGCTCACGCTGTCTCTATCTCTCTCTCTCCTAGAAATAAATAAAACATTAAAAAAATAATAACATAGGAAAACGGAGGCACGTCATTCTATAGATGTTAGTAGAAAACATACAGTAGGTAAAGCATGGTCTTTGTAATTTGAGCTAGAACCACCATGTGCAAGCTGTGTGATAGGAGGCAAGTTACTTAGCTTTAACATACCTGCTAAATTAAAATAACACTATTTTCCTCATAGCATGCTGTAAGACTTCAATAAAGTACTGAGCACAGAGCCTGGCACATCGGACAGGTACTGAAATGCCGGCTGCCCGCCCTTTACCGAAGAAATGCAGGGTTATATTCATGACATCAGAATAACTCCAGTGACTACTTTTTCTCTCAGAACATAATGGCTTTTTTCCTCTCCATATTAAGAGCCTGTAAATTGTGGACTAAACTTTACACTGATGGGATGGAAAAGAGCCATTTTTCTAGTATTATTTTTTGCTATATAAAGTTCACTCTTGAACAACGCCGGTATGAACTGCCTGTGTCCACTTATACAGGGATATTTTTTTTCCAATAAATATGTTGGAAGATCTTTTGGAGATTTGCAACAATTTAAAAAAAAAAAAAACTAAGAGAAGGACCAGGTAGCCGAGTAATACCAAAAAATTAGAAAAATTAGGTATTATTGTAAGAATACAGTATATAACACATACACAAAATATGTGTTAACTATTTATGCTACTGGTAAGGCTCCTGGTCAATAGTAGCCTATTAGGAGTCCAAAGTTATATGCAGATTTTCAACCATGCAGGGGGTCGACGGCCCTTACCCCCATGTTGTTCAAGGGTCAACTGTGTACTTAGCCATATAAGCACTAATAGGTTTGGAATCAGCCCTCATTATAAGAGCACTTATGGTTGCCTCTTTTGGATGTCTTTTTTATTGTTATCTGTCTCTTCCCAATGTTTGCAGGTTAATATTGTCCCCTCTTCTGCCTGCACTCTCTGAGCCCTAACCAGTGATCTTATGGTCATCAGTGCTCCCACCCTAGATCCTCTAGTCCAGAACCAGGTCTTATTTTGGCAGCTAAGGACTTGCACAATATGGTCATGTTGAGGATGTCACATTTCAGTAAGATCCTGGTTTATGGATCATGTCCAGGTCTTGCTTGCAAGGTTGTAGCTTCCCTAGTTTCTCATATACTCACTGATCAACGATGAGCACTGGGCAGTTTCAAGACTGTTTTTCAGCCTCCCTTCACAGGCAGAAGTGAGCCTGACTCTGGCCCTGGGAGCCTGACTCTGGCCCTGGGAGCCTGAGTGACTCTGGCCCTGGGAGCCTGACTCTGGCCCTGTGGACTTAGCTCTATTACTTCTCCTCTTGGATATCCTCTTGGCCAACTTCTTTCCAAACGCACATAGAATACTCCCCCAAATGAACTGCAATCTGGGCTATGAAACAACCCTCACATTTTTTAAAACTGGAGTCATAGACAGCGTGCCTGGGTGGCTCAGTCGATTAAGCAGCCAACTTCGGCTCAGGTCACGATCTCATTGTTTGTGGGTTCAAGCCCTGTGTCAGGCTCTGTGCTGACAACTAGCTCAGAACCTGGAGCCTGCTTCAGATTCTGTGTCTCTTCTCTCTCTTTCCCTTCCCCACTCATACCCTGTCTCTCTCTCAAAAATAAACATTAATTTTTTTCTAAACTGGAGTCATATAAAGTGTGCTCTCTGACTACAACAGAACTGAGTGAGAAATCAATAACAAGAGGTTATTTGGAAAACATACAGTCTGGAAATTAAACAACACAATTCTAAATATTCAGGGGTCAAAGATATGTCTCAATGAAATAAGAAAATCTTTTGAACTGTATAAAAATGAAAACACAACAATTCAAAATGTGTGGAATACAGCTAAAGTAGTACACTGGGGAAAATTCATAGTATGAAATGCTTAGAAACAAGGAAAATGTTTGAATCAGTAAGATAAGCTTTCATCTTAAGAAACTAGAAAATGAATAGTGAATTAAACCCAAAGCAAGCAGAAGGAAGAAAGAATATGAGTAACAACAGAAATCAATGATACTGAAAATAGAAAAACAATGGAAAAATCAATAAAATAAGATCAGTAAAACTCATATACCTCTAGCCAGAATAATCAAGAAAAAAGAGATATAAATTACCAATATCAAGAATGGATGACAGGATATTTATCAATACAAATTTTGCAGGTATTAAAAGCATAATAAGAAAAAACTATGAACAATTTTATGTCAATAGATTTGAGAATTTAGATAAAATGGAAAAAGTATTTGAAAGGCACAAATTACCAAATATCACTCAAGAAGAAACAGATAACTCCAATAGTCCTATATCTATTTAAAAAAATTTTTTTTAATGTTTTATTTATTTGTGAAAGAGAGAGAGAGAGAGAGAGAGAGAGAGACAGTGTGAGCAGGGGAGGGTCAGAGAGAGAGAGGGAGACACAGAATCCAAAGCAGGCTCCAGGCTCCGAGCTAGCTGTCAGCACAGAGCCCAACTCGGGGCTCGAACCCCTAGCTGTGAGATCATGACCTGAGCCAAAGTCAGACGCTTAACAGACTGAGCCACCCAGGCGCCTCTTTTTTAAAGACTGAACTTATGATTTATTATTTTTAAAAATCCACAAACAAAAAATCTTCCTACAAAGAAAACCTCAGGCCCACATGGCTTCACTGGAAAATTCCATCATTTAGAGAGTTAATACCAATTTAATATAAATCTGTTCTGACTCTTTTGAATGCAAGATACTTAGTTAAGGGTTCTAAAAGAAAAATTATCCCAGAAACATTCAGTAAGTAAAGAATGTTCTTGGAGCACCGGGGTGGCTCAGTGGGTTAAGCATTTGACACTTGATCTTGGCTCAGGTCATGATCTCATGATTTGCGAGTTCAAGTCCCACATCGGGCTTTTGCACTGACAGTGTGGAGGCTGTTTGGGATTCTCTCTCTCCCTCTCTCTGACCCTCCCCTGCTTGTGCTTTCTCTCTCTCTTTCTCAAAATAAATAAATAAACTTAAAAAAAAGAATGTTCACTTAGAGTATTAGTTTTATATGTTCACTAGTATTTTCCAACAGTAAAAACCTAGTCCTCATATGGATCAGTAAAAGCCTTAAATGGAATCAACCCCTCTGTCTCCTACTTGAGGGGTATCTATTCCTGCAGTATCTATTCCCCAAGTATCTATTCTGGACCCAGCCCTGTGCTGGGTACGCAGGGTATTTACCCTCAGGTCCTTGGTCTGGGTCTCCAAGTGCTTCATCTGCTCCAGAGTGCCAGTGCTGGCAGTCAGGCCCTGCAGCTGAGACTTGACCAGGCGGAGCTCGTCGCCCATGGTGGCCAGGTCATTCAAGAGCGTCATCACACAGCTGTCACAATCTGTAGGGGCCACAAAGGTGAATGTGCTGTGGGTTGGAGCCATAAGAATGGAAACAGAACACAAGGGCTTACAGCCCTTAGATCACGACAGGCAAAACTCATAATCCTGGACTTCTCAGGGAGGGACATTCTGCCCAAGAGAGATCTCTGGACATGAAGCATTTTAAAAAGAAGCGGTAGAGTGGGGGAAATGGGCAAAAGGGATCAAAAGCTACAAACTTCCAGGTATAAGAAAAATAAGTCCTGGGGATGTAATGTACAGCATGGTAACCATAGTTAACAACACTGTATTGTATATTTGAAAGCTGCTAAGACAGTCTGCCTTAAAATCACTAGAAAAACACTGTAACTATGTGAAGTCATGGCTCTTAACTGACTTACTGTAATAACCATTTTGCAATAGATACATATATCAACTCCTTATGTTGTTCACTTTAATACAACACTTCATGTCAGTTATATCTCAATAAAATTGGGAAAAAATGGTGATTCTATGCAACTTGTTACTTACTTTGTATGTGGAAAAATAGTAATAAATAGCTTTTATTTACTGAGAGCTTGCTATTTGCCAGGCACTGTGGTAAGGGATTTATAAGCATTTCACCAGCAACTCTGTGAGGTACATATAGTTATAATGTCCATTTTACAAATGATGAAACTGAGGCTTGGAGAATTCCAGCCACTTGCCCAAGGTCATAAAGCTGTGAGTTGACAGAGGCTGGGCTTGACTGTAAGAAGTCCTCTCCCTCCCACCTCCCACCATGGCTTTCCCAGCCCGGAAAGTGCACATCCCAGCATGAGGCTCACATATCTTAAACTAAACCCCACCAGCTGGAGAAGTGGGGGATAGGCTTTCTTTTCTCACCATCACATTCTTCTCCAGGGCCACCATCTTGGGGCTCTTGGTCTATGCAGTCTGAAACAAGGAATAACCAAAGCAGCTATTGTTATTAAACCTCCTCTTCATCTGTTTTTTAATTTGGCTTTCAGGAAAACTAGTTTGGGAAGATTTTAGTCACCCAACTATCTGACATCGCTGGCTCTTCCCCCCTTCCCTCCTTACCTGTTGCCATTGTTCAGGAAGCCTTCCCATCTCTTACCAGTCTTGCTACAGGAACTTCTCTCATGACCCCCCATGACTGTATATTCAGTTTCTTCTCTATATAAGGTCATGATATTCTTATCGAATTAAAACCCCCTTATCGTTAGTGGGAAGGCTTTCTTCATTTGATAGCTTCCTATACAACTGTTGACCTCTTTTCCGGTGTCTTTCAAGAACATTCAGTAAACATTTATTGAGCACCTTTGAGCACCCACTGTGTGCCTTGGCTTTGTGCCATGTACAGGAAATACCGAGCTAGGAAGACAAAAATCCCTGCTGTCCTATAGTTTACTGGCCCCACAGAGGAAGTAGATAAATCACACAACAGTGTGACAGATGCTGAGAGAGAGGGATGCACACGATGTTAGTGGACCCACACTGCCAATTACCACAGATATGAGCTAGACCTTGAAGTTCTCAACTATAGTCAAGAAAGCCTACTGATCGTCCTTGGACATTCTTTACCGTTTCCATTTCTACTCTTTTCCCTACACCATGCATCTTTGCAATGAAAGGCCCTCTCCCTTCCCTCTAGAAAAATAATCTAATTTCACCACAGGATATCACAAAGCTTGAAATCTTCTTAGACATGCTACAAGGAGGCTTTCACAGTTTGTCTTCTCAGCGGCAGGCAATATTCCACACTTTGTGTGTATATACATATACTTTAAACCACATTTACTTTTGATTGTAACATAAATAATACAAATTCACTATGGACATTTTGGGAAAATCAGAAAAATAATATAAAAACATCACCCTTGATACCACCACTCAAAGACAATCAGTGTCTCTTTTCTATATATTTGTAGATATTTTAATTTATTATATATAATCATAGGTTTTTCTTACTCATCTTTTTTTTTTTGAGAGAGAGAGAGAGAGATAGAGAGTGCATGCATGCAAGTGGGGTTAGGGTGGGAGTGGGATACGGAGAGAGAGGGAGAGAGACAGAATCTTAAGCAGGCTCTATATTCCGTGCAGAGCCTGACACAGGGATCAAGCCCACGACCCTGGGTTCATGACCTGAGTGGATATCAAGAGTCAGATGCTTATCCGGGGCGCCTGGGTGGCTTAGTCGGTTAAGCGTCCGACTTTCGCTTAGGTCATGATCTCGCAGTTCGTGGGTTCGAGCCCCGCGTCGGGCTCTGTGCTGACTGCCAGCTCAGAGCCTGGAGCCTGCTTCAGTCTGTGACTCCCTCTCTCTCTGACCCTCCCCTGCTCACGCTGTCTCTCTCTCTCTCTCCTAGAAATAAATAAAACATTAAAAAAAAAAAAAAAGAGTCAGATGCTTATCCAACTGAGCCACCCAGGTGGCCCACTCATCTTTTTTTTAATTACCCATTCTTATGTGTATGGATAGCTATGTCACTTTTATTTCCTCAATTAAGCTGTAAATTCCCCACGACAAGGAAATAGTTTTATTTTCTTCACAATCTTTCACAGCTCCTTGAATAGTCCAGCAGGGGGACTTGCCTCATGTGGGTGATTGATTTATCAATGCATTTTCTCAACAGTTTTTAATTTTGACCACCAAGGAATCTGTATGCTTTAATGAAAATAAAAAGAATGAAAAAGAGGGGAAAAAAGCTCACAGAAACAAAGTCTCATGCGTGAGCATTTTCTTCCATTTTGGGAACAAACAGTTACCATCCTTATTTCAGGTTTTGTTGTTGTTAGAGTAGGAGAAAAAGAGGGTTGTAAAGATATTCATCTCATGAACATGCTGTGCGTGATGGTGAAGCTTCTCCTCGAAGGCCTCCATTCACAGAACTCATGTTTTTCTAAAACAGTCTTTTTCATCTTTAAACACAGGACACTTCTTCCTTAGGATGATTTAACGTAGACCTCCCTCTAGTTTCCATTCCTTGGGTTCTACCTCTTGTGTCACATAGAACAAGATGGACCCTTCTACACATCAATCAGCGTCTCAAATACATCCTTTCCAAGTCTTCTTTCCACTGTTCTGGTTTGTCAATCCTTCATGTGACAAGGTTCAAAGTGTTTTCAATATCTCAATTTCTTCCTGAACAACTGCAGCTTGTCTATTGTCTTCTAGAAACAGAGCCCCACATGAAGATGTATATGAGCAGCATGCCAGGGAATGGAGGACCACCTGGTTTTAGACTCCAGAACTCACTGAAGATTGTATGAGGTATCCTAGGGGTCATATCACTCTCCTGAGCAGTACTGACCTCGCTGCTGACTAAAGCCTTAGTCTTTTTCATCTGGTGCTACTAAGTCACATCTCACTTGTCACACACTTATTTTTATGCCATTCAACTATAGGACCGTCACTTATCCCTAACATCATGTTGTCTTGTTAGTACTGGCCCATTATTCTAGACTCTTGAGTCCCTTAAGTATTCTAAATGTGCCATAGGAGGCATTTTCTATCTCTCCCAACTTTGTGTCATCTGACAATTGGGTGGGCATGCCTTCTACATTTCCATTCAGGACAACAGTATTGAACAAGATGGAGCCAAGGATTAAGGCCCAGCGCATGTCAGAAGATACCTCATTCTAGACTGATGATAGAATACTCTGTATTCCTCTGGGAACTGTCACTTGACCAGATCAAATCTATACATTCAGGGTGTTGTTCTTTATCTTGTCCATAAGTATAATATTAGAGATTTTATCTAAGGTTTGGCATTACACTATATCTGTGGTATTTTCTAGATAAATCTCATTAATATTCTTTGAGGAAGAAAATTGTGTTCCTTTTCCTTCCAAGTTGCTCCTAATGAACCCACACTAACGCCTAGTGATTCTTTTCCTTGGTATGTGAAATCCATCCCAGCTATGCCACCCACATCTCAGACATGTATTGATATTCAAGAAAGAATACGTTGACCTCTTCAGATACACACACGAAGAAAACTGGTGTGATGACAACCTTATGTCAAGAAAGATTTGAGCAGAATCACAAAAGTAGGACCCGAGGTTATTTTGACTATAATTACTTGACTTTTAAAAGCAATTTATCTTTTTTTTTTTTTTTAAAGAACCAATTGGCAAAGAACCAATGAGGCTCACTGTGTCTTTATGTAGCTCTCCATATTTGTGCATGCTCACATATAATCCTACTTACAGTCATTTTATTTACAAACAACCCCAGTTAAAACTTGTATATTCTTACAGTTCATTCTGTGTGCCCAGACGCTTTCTTAAAAAAAAAAAGTAGATTGCTGTTTTATTTTCTGTTTTGGCTCATTTTCTCATCTAGTAGAAGGTTAGCAACATCTTTCCATTGCAGTAAGCATTTCCCTGCTAATATCATGTCAGAACCAAGAAGTTCTGTAATCTACTGCTGGTCTTTGAAATAGTTTTACTCTTTTCTGCTCAAAGCAGCACTAAAAGTAAATCCTTGCAGCGAATTATTTGGGTGCATAAATCCTCAAGATATAATTACTAGAAGCGGATCCCTTGGATCTAAGGATAGATGATAGTACCACCACCTGGGTGGTACAGTCAGTTAAGCAGCCAACTCTTGATTGTGGCTTAGGTCATGACCTCACAGTTCCGTGAGTTCGAGCCCTGCAATCAGGCTCTGTGCTCACAGCGAGGAGCCTGCTGTGAGCCTTCTCTCTCTGTCCCTCCCCTTATCTCTTCTTGCACTCTTGCTCTCAAAAATAAATAAATGTTAAAATTTTTTTTTAAAACACCCTACTTGAGGTAAGTTACTCACTAAACTATAAATAAATACTACCTAAGCATTTCCAAGGCTGTCATAACATCTGTTGGCTGGAACTGGGTATTATGCTTCCTGAAGATATTTGCCTGGGTTCTTGGCCTGCTATTTCATATCAGATTGATAAATGCAGGTTAACAAAGATGTGAGTCTCTCTTACCTCCAGTCAAGGGGTGACAGGTGCCCAACTGGCCATTATTGTTACAGTTGCATGGCTGGCAGCTACCTCCAAGCTTCTGGGGATTCCCAAAATATCCGGGTGCACACCTACGCAAAATAAAGAGAAAAAGGAGAAGCACTCAAAGAACTAATCATTTCTTCCATCCAATTTTCTCCATCTTCAAACTCTCCGTTTGGGCCATCGTAACCCTAAATGGGTAAGGCTGATTTGTGAGAGTGTGTCTCAATGCAGAGATATTGATGGCTTGGATGAGAACAGAGAAAGTAGGAGGCAGGCAGAGGTTGCTCCCCCCTCATCGATACCAGGATGACAAAATCCTCAGTTACCTGTATCACCAAATGGCAGATGAACAAAATGCACACAGGAGCCAGTGGTTTGACCATTAATGGAAGTCAGGGGTGGACGAATTTTATGCAAGAGTTATGTTCCTGAAGATACCACACAATTAAATATTGCTTAATGTTTGGCTAATTTCCTCAAAGAAAATTTTAAGGTAAAATTCATAGGATTTTCAATTTGTTCATCGATGGGGATTTTATGAATATTGCCTATTGAACTCTTTTAAGCCTGCATAATTCCTATTTGCACTAATTGCTGCAGGGCTGTATTTAATGAGCCTCAACAACGGAGGGTAGTTACAACGCCTACCCTATTGGCTGAGAGCCTTTATTATTCTAGATAATTTAGTGATGAGAACTCTGTTCCTTATTTTAGAGGGCATTTCCTTGATTCTGAATTCCTATTTAAAAAACAAACAACAAAACAGACACATGTTAATGTTTTTGGAATTGGTAGGTAAACTAAAATAATTTTTTTCTTTTTTAAATTTTTTTAAATTACGTTTGTTTATTTTCAGAGAGAGAGAGAGAGACAAAGTGCGAGTGGTGGAAGGGCAGAGAGAGAGGGAGACAGAATCTGAAGCAGGCTCCATGTTCTGAGCTGTCAGCACAGAACCCGATGTGGGGCTCGAACCCATGAGTGTGAGATCATGACTTGAGCTGAAGTCAGACGCTCAACAGACTGAGCCACCCAGGTGCCCCTAAAATATTTGTCTAAAGTTCCATTCTCACGCTACCCTCCCCCCAAATTGTCATTAACTCAAAGTGTGTGTGGTGTCTTCTCTTCTATGGAATTGACAGAATCAAGAAAATGTGGTATCTGACTCTCTTCCTCAAATTTAAGCTTTGCATCACAGAATTGTTAGGTAATTTATATAGGCTTTGCCAATGGCAATATGGTGCAAAGCACACGGGCTTTATTAGGAAGACCTGGCTGGATCCCTGCCTCCTTGGGCTGTTATCTTAACCTTTCAAGCTTAAGTTTCTTCATCTACATCTCCTTGAAAATGTAAACTTGGGACACCTGGGTGGCTCAGTTGGTTAAGCATCCAACTTCAGCTCAGGTTATGATCTCCCAATTCATGAGTTCAAGCCCTGCATTGGGCTCTGTGCTAATAGCTCAGAGCCTGGAGCCTGCTTCTGACTCCTTGTCTCCCTCTCTCTCTGCCCCTCCCTCTCTCACATTGTCTCTCAAAAATAAATAAACATTGAAAACAAAATAAAAAAAAAAGAGTAAACTCCACAGGGCATAGATTCTTTGGCTGATATATCCCTGCATGCAGGCGAGTGCCTGGGCCTATATTAGGTGCCAAATAAGAATATGCAGGATGAATAAATGAGTAATTGCACTATCAATACCTAGTTTGGTCGATGAATATGAGATAAAAAATAATGTAGTGAAGAATCTAATATAATGCCTGGACATAACAGACACTCAATAAAAGTTAGCTACCAGTTTAAGACATGATGAAATATTCATACACACCTACACACACACATATATTCACATCTATGTATAATTGGCATCATTTGGAATTATTACATTTCAGAAAGTAGATAGGAAGCAGAAACCCCATGTCTTCCTTAATTATCAGGAAGGTAACTACGCTAAGGTAGCTTATCTAAATCTACTAAGCAAGTTGGCATAAGGCTTTACTTTATGTGACTGGCCCCATATTCTACTTAATGAACCATGCTATATGCAAAAGATCTAGGTTTTAAATGCTTTATTTTTAGATATGTCACCTATATCTAAACTTTCCATGTAAAGGATGCATAATTACAAAACACTTTATATTAAAGTCACATAAATATTTAGGAAGGTTGATTCCACTTCTTCCTTTTTCTTGCAAAAAGCATTACTTACTGATTACAGAAATAACCGGTACCCTTATTCTCATTTTTAGGTAGTGTCCAAACACAATGGACTGAAGTGAAACTTCCTGATTTCATAGATGACGTTGGTACAACAAATAAAGAGCAGAGAACATGTTTGTCTGGGGCTCGGGCGTGGGGGTGGGGGGGTGGATGTGCCCCAGGACACAGTATGAGCTGGAAAGTCTTTCCTACCCCGTCTGCTGCTCCCTCTTCTGCCCAGCTGGCTCCTGCTTATCTTTTTACTTGTCACCTTATATCATCCTTGTAGCTAACCACTGGCACTGGATTGACACCTGGCACAGAGGGGGTCCCCAATAAATGTTGAACAAATTAAAAAATTTGACATTCCTATGGCATTTACTTGTGAACAAGATCTTTAAAAAAATTGAAGAAACTATAGTTTGCTTTCCTGAGACAGCAAATATAACAGACATAAGCTGCGAGAACTGTTAATTAAGAATTTATCTTTTCAAATCTGCTGCCTGCCAACTGGGTGTCTCAGCCGGTCTGTTGCTGTTTTCTGCTTTGTTGTTTGTGAAGAACCATGAGGAGTATGACACTACGATGCCTCTCCCGAGTGGGAGTCTCACACCTTTTAAACCACAGAGCCTGGAGGAACCTTCCCAGAGCCCCTTGTACCCCATCCGTCTGTCCTGTCTCTTCTTCCCTCACCCCCCCAGGGGTAGTTGGATGCACCTCCCACTGCAGCCTGGCCTGGCCCGGTTACGTTCTCCGTCACTGTTTTAACGGCTGGTTTGTGTGTCTGTCCACCACTAGACTGTAAAACCCCAAGGGCAGAGTCTGGGCTCCAGCTGCTAACATGTCTCTAGTGCTTAGCCCAGTGCCAGGCATATACTAGGATCTCCGTACATTTTTCATTGAAAGAAAGAATGAATAATAGATCTGAGGCAACTATGGGCAAGGTTCCTTTTGTTGAAATGGAAAACAGAAGAATCTTGAAATTGCTTCTTTTTACCACCAGACAGTGCCCCACCCCTCAGCTGATGCTCAGTGATCCCATAATAAGGCAGCGCACCTTCTTCACTGGCAAATAGCCTCGAGGCCCGTGGGTTTGCTTGGGTAACTTCCCTGATTTGAGCCATCCTCCAGCCCCACCAGGCTCTCGTCATCCCTTAGACCCACGTAAGTCCCACCCTGTCTGTCAAATGTCTCAGATAACCCCAGTCTAGAGTGGCCCTGCCTTCCTGTGAAAACCAGTAGAATTAATTTTCTGGGTTTTTCTTTTTTTTGAAATTTGATAAAACTCTTCTAAAGTTTATCCAGGAAAATAATATGCCAGAATGGCCAAGGAAAACATGTGAAATAAGGGTTATGAGGAGAGCCGTGCTCAACCAACTATCTAAAGGCATTTCATACTTCCAGAAGTGAAAATACCACAAAGACTGAACAAAACGTATGCAAACGACTCTAAGTTTGTATAGAAATTTTGTAAATGCACATTCGCCTTTAGTGAATTGAACAAATGTACTTGGCAATAGAGACAGAGGTGGGGGAGAGAACAAGAATGTAACAGCATGAGCGGTGTAGCGGGAAAACAGCTAGAGTGTCTGTCCCCATTCACCCAGTGAGCGTGAGTGTGTGACACGAAGGACGTGAATCTGCCAGTCCCCTCACTAATTAGTCTGCTTTCCTTATGCCTCCCCCTGGTAGTGTGAACGTCTCACCCTACTGAGTGTGGCTCTGGGGTGTAGCCAAATACTACATGCATTTCATGCAACACGGGCCCTGGATTATGGGGATGGAGTACCCGGACAGTGTGTGTTTCTTGAACTCTGGGCAACTTTGCTGTACACGCTGACCCTAAATCTCTCTGTCATGTGAAATGCCCTGACACCACCAAAAGGCTACATTCCAAATTTTCACCAAGATGAAGATCTGAGTGCAAGAAATAAAAGTATATAAGTCCTAAAAGAATGCATAAACATTTCTATAACCTCCTGAAGCATGGCCCCCAAGACTGACAGCCTAAAGAGTACAAGAGTAGATACATACAACAAACCCCCCCCAAAAAAATAAATAAAAAACAAAAAATATCTGCAACATCTAGTATGAAGAATCTGTATAGATCAATAAAAAAATAAAAGGACATTCCATTAGAAAAAAGTGAGTAAAAAGCCTAGAAAGCAATCCCAAAAATAAGATCTACAAATGGTCAATTAGCACATGAAAAAATCCCATCTGATTATTAAACAAAGATATGTAAATGAAAATGATTTACAATTCCCGTTACCAAATTGGTAACTATTTTAAAAACAGATCATTTCTAGTATTCACTGGCAGCAACAGTTACTCTCTTGCTACTGGCAGGAATAGATATGAGTCTGACTTCTCTGGAGGGCAATCTGGCAAAATGTATCAAAAGCCTGAAAACTTCACCTATCCTTAGATCCAAGGGATCCGCTTCTAGTAATTATATCTTGAGGATTTATGCACCCAAATAATTCGCTGCAAGGATTTACTTTTAGTGCTGCTTTGAGCAGAAAAGAGTAAAACTATTTCAAAGACCAGCAGTAGATTACAGAACTTCTTGGTTCTGACATGATATTAGCAGGGAAATGCTTACTGCAATGGAAAGATGTTGCTAACCTTCTACTAGATGAGAAAATGAGCCAAAACAGAAAATAAAACAGCAATCTACTTTTTTTTTTTTTTTAAGAAAGCGTCTGGGCACACAGAATGAACTGTAAGAATATGCAAGTTTTAACTGGGGTTGTTTGTAAATAAAATGACTAAGTAGGATTATATGTGAGCATGCACAAATATGGAGAGCTACATAAAGGCACAGTGAGCCTCATTGGCTCTTTGCTCACACGTATTATATCATTTTTATAAGTATGTACTGATTTTATGATTAAGTTATTTTAAATTGAAAAACATGTTGTCCATATGATTCATCTGCTAAACTGCTACTTTTTCACAATGTATATGCCACCTTCCCAGGCAGACTGTAAGTACCTTTTACAGCCCTTATAATGCTTGGCAGTGCCCTATGTATGGGAGCTAATCATGAAAATGTGTTCATGTATAACAAAAGCTTGGCTCTATGGCCCTTCATAATTAAGTTCATAGTTTCCATTTTGAAATATTTATTCTTTTGTTTGACTGCTGAACACCTATGACATGAACAGCGCATGTGATGGTAGGCAGCAGTGATTCAGAAATGAATGACACACTGTCCTGCAGGTGTTCATAATATGTGGGGATAGAGAGGTATGGGGTGTGTGTGTGTGTGTGTGTGTGTGTGTGTGTGTACAGGAGTATGCAGAGTTGTACGTGTGTATGCAGGCAAGTAGGGATGTGGTGGGGTAGGAGTACATATGGATGTGCATACATGGGGTGAGGGCTGTGTGAGGTCGAATGTATATGGAGCTTGGGCTAGTTAGGGTTATATGTGCCAGGGAGGCAAAAACAAGCACACATGTGTGGTGGGTAGGGATATATAGGAATGTGTACACGTGGGGTGGGGGTATGTAAGTATGGATTTATATGGATATAGGGACAGGTAAGGACATGTAGGGGGCAGAAGTATGTAGAGATGTGGAAGGGGAGGGGCATGTAGAAATATGTAGGAGGAGGGGAGTGAGGGGGTGTGCAGGGGGGTAGGAGTATGTAGGGGTACGTGTTGGGGGTACATATGATATATTGGGCCTCCTTCTCAAATTTCTGAAACATGTAAAAAACAAGAAAGAGAAATAAGTTAATGATTTATTAAGCGAACAGTCTTGTATTTTTCCCTAAAGACCTTTCTCCAGGCTCCGTGAAAGCAACAGCCCCACCCCAGCTCTGAGCCACGACCCAGCACAGCCGCACCCACAGCCCGAGCCTGCCGCAGCCTGCCTGCAGAGCCCACCCTACCTGTGGGGGGGGGGGGGGAGGGCGGGGAGGAGCCGCAGTGAGCGAGGGGCAGCACCCACCTTTCGCACTGTGTGCCTGTGTACCCAGGTTTGCAGGAGCACCTCACGTTTTCCCCAGTCACGACACAGCCCGTGGCAAAACTGAAAGGAAGACAGAAAAAAGCCTCAGTAAAAACAGAAATCGATAGGCTTCGTGCTCTTATTTTTTGCCACAAAGCACTGACTTGCCTTAAGTGGAAACAGACACCAACGGTCTGGTTACCTCTTATATGAAGAAAAATGTGTCCATTAAGACTTGTGTGGACAGCGATGAATTATTTCAGCTCACACTGGGCAAATCTTGGTACGTAAGGACTGAATGCATTTATTTGGTTTTATTTTTGGCTTGGAGAAATACATTCCTTCACTTGAGACAGAACAAAGTAGCTCAGTTTGGAAGAAATGATTACAACAGCATCTTTCCAGGAATAACAAGGGAGGAATAAAACAAGTCTAGGCAGAAAAAAAGAACAGAGAGCTCGGATTCTTCAAAAAAATTTCCTCCTTGTTTATTCTAGTTCCTTCACATTGGGCACATTAACTCCTAGCAAGAAAAGGGGCCAAGCAGGAGGGACTAAGGCATAAAACAGGCTTGTCCATCTAGGGTATTTCTGTGAGCACAAGCATTGGTGAGTTTTAGATTTTTCAAATCAAGTTGTGGGATTCTGATTCTTTTTCTTTTTGTTCTAAGCGACTGTGTATTTGAGAAGCTTTTTTTTTTTTTTTTCTCAATTAAGTGAGCAGATCATGAAAAAACTCTGTTACCTTGAGACAGGCCTATAAACATTACACTGAATAAATCTGAGGGAAAATAACTCCATTTATCATTTGCCAATAAGAGAATTCTTATCTGGGAAGCTTCTCTTGGACTAGTAGATGGACAGAGTTATACTTCTTTTTTTTTTTAAGTTTATTTATTTTGAAAGAGAAGGAGAGTGCGAGTAGGGGAAGGGACAGAGAGAGAGGGAGAGAAAGAGAATCCCAAGCAGGCTCTGTATGGTCAGTGCAGAGCCCGATCTGAGTTAGGGCTCGAACTCACTAATCATGAGGTCATGACCTGAGCCAAAACAAGAGTCAGATGCTTAACCCACTGAGCCTCCAGAGTCACACTTCTAAAGGGACAGTTAGGAATCTATCAACAGTATGGATATTGCTGGAGAAAGACTTAAATAAAAACCATGTTTCACTGATAAATCTGAGGAACTGCATGTTACTTCAACTGCCTGAAAGCCAGAAGCTGGCCTTCCTGATAACACTGTGCTTGGCCATCAAAGATGAAAAGCTTTCCCCTGAGCACCCGGTGAAATTCTTGTTTCCACTCTCTCTAGCTTCTGTTCCAACAAGTCTAGGCAAGTACTGAGTGTTAAATCCCTTTTCAAATAAAGCTACAGGACTGGGCAAGTTTTAAGGAGTATCAAATATACAGAGAACAAACCAGGCTGCACACTTCAAATACGCATCTTCAGAAAAGCCACATCTGGGCAGTGGCTTCCGGTAATGTGGCCAATTTCTCTGATACTGGCCTGACATCAGCCAGCCTTGTGGTCCGCGCTTGCTTCCGAGCCTGTGCACTGCTGATACTCTTGTCAGTATCTTCCTGATTTTCAAATCAACTCTTGCTTTGTTTACTTGTAATATTTTGCTTGGACCCACAGAAGATGTGTCACGATGAACAGGAATATGACAAGGTACCGAGGCCAAAGAGAACATGAATTCCCATGAAATTTAAGTGGCAGGTTTCCACCTACATAGCGTGTCTGCTGTACTGGAGTCTGAACGACACCTCGGGTCACATCACTCCGTGGCTCAGAACTGGCCTGTGGCTTCTATCACACTGAGGATAAATCCGAGGGCCTTGCTACAGTCTGCAAGGTCCTATGGGATCTGTACACTGGGTGCCCCACCAACCTCACCTCCTGACCCTCTGTCCCACACTGCACTCTAACCACCTCCTTACTCCACCGATGCATCGTCACAGGGACCATCTCTTGTCTTTTCCTTGCCTCAGACCCTCAGTGCTGAGATACCGCCATGCTTACTCCATCTCATCATTCCCTGGTCCTTGGCCAATGGCCTCAGAAAACCCTTCTACTCCTCTGTAAAGGGTCTACTCACTAGCTATCAATCACGTGGCCCTGTTATCAGCCGCAGAGCCCATCTCTATCTGAAATTACACTTATTTATTTGTGCATGCACTTCTTGAGTGTGAAAACTCCCCCTGCCTGCATTCTTCAGGTGAAGCTTTGTGAGATCGGAGTCTCTGTACTGTAGTTTCCCCAGCACCTAGAAAATGCTAACTTCTAGGCCCCATATTGGGCACTCAGTAAATAATGTTTAGCCATCGAATGAAGACTGAAAGGAAAGAGGAAAAGGAAAAACACACAAGCATATATTTGGGAAAGCTGTTCTTGTTTGTTTTGCTTGTGTTTTACATCTTTGTGTATTCTTTTCTAAATATAACTGCTTTGTGAGATAGAATTCACATAGCGTATCATGCACCCATTTCAAGCATACAATTCAATGGCTTCTAGTAGATTCACAGAGTTGTACAAACCATCAGCATGATCAACTATAGAGCATGTTCATCATCCCAAAAAGAAAATTCCATGCCCATAGCGGGAGTGACCATATGCCACCCCCCTCCCACTCCCCACCCCCCGTCCCAGGCAACCACCAAGCTACTTCCTGTCTCTACAGATTCTTTTCAAGCTCCCACAGTACCTGTTGGAATGAGGACACGGGCAGACGCTACAGTGTCCGTGGATGGCATTCCCATAGTGACCCTCTCTGCAGCGTTCACAGTGTTCCCCGGCAGTGTTATGCTGGCAGTTCTTGGGACAGACGAACATACAATTAAGAGCAGTCGATTACATTTATTATTATTAAAATTATTATCAACTTAATTACTCAAATATAACTCAAGTCCTCTGACTCTGTACAGGGATATCAATCCACTAATGATATATTTTCCCCATCTTTCCAATTACTGTTGGTACTAAAAAATAAACCACGTAAGTGCCCTTCCATCAGCTATTTGGTGCTTAGCATCGGGAGGGTGAAATGGAGGAAGACCAGCTGGATTCAAACTCACTCCAAAGCTTCATAGCTGTGCAGCCTTGGGCAATATTTGTCACCTCTCTGAGCCTCAGTGTTTTTTACAAACCCGTTTTATTGATGTATGATTTACACACAATTCTGATTTTCTTAAAATGTATAGTTAGAATAATACCCACTTTTGAAGGTTGCTGGGAGGATTTTAAAAAGTACACTACAGCCTCAGCAAAATATTAGTCCCATCCGTCTTCCCCTGAGAATAGTTTCTATGAAATGAACTTGTTTTACTTCATAATTCACTTAATCATGATATACTAAAGGGGAATATAGTTGCAATAAGTTAACACATGGAATTTATTAAAATAATGAAAAGCTGTATCGTATCTGAAGAAATAATTCCAGCATCTCAGTTTAATTACAATGTCTCAAAGAAGCAAGATGTTAAGTTTGTCTACGTTGTATGTTTATGTAAATCCAATTATTTTCATGCCAAAGTCAATGCCTATTGAAAGTCGTTCCTCGGTAAGGCATTGAGATGAGACGACTATCGAACTAAGCAGTCCACTGAGGCAAATTCTAGCAGATGGTATCAAATTTGCTTATTTTGTGGAATTTTTAGCCCAGTGTAATGTTTCTTGTTTTACCCTAGTATATCCTAGTAATACATATGTAAATGCACAAAACTATCCAGGAAACTACCCACCCTTCTGTGGGCATTTGATAATTCAGAGATACTCTAGATGACTTGGAATGAGTCTAATATTTTAAAAATATGCTTTTACACAGAGGTGGGGCTTGGTAGGAAATTTCAATGGATGTGAGTTGTCAATATCTGAAACCGGGCTGTAAAAACAACACACACTATATCCTAAGTGGGTGTGGCCCCGCTCTGAATGTGAGACTGTCCCTTCTATCATAATGTCATCGGTTTCTTTGGGTTAAACACATCCATCCCTCAGAAGCTTTTCAATAATGAACAATTACACAATCCACTAAGACGTTAAAGTATCTTTTCATATTTTTTTCAGATATGAAATCGTGTTATACACACAAGGGATGTTGCTTACACATTAACATGGGATCATCACCAGAAAGCTCAGCCCTGCCCTGAATCCTTCCCTCTTTCCCCAAATGTCACTGCTGTATCTATTTTTGCTGTAGACCAGGACACTAGGAACAAATCCACACTGCAGTGTATCGGATCCACAGAGGGGTCTCTCTTGACCTTTACCTTGCTCCACTGTCCTGACTCTCTAACAAAACAGTTGTTCTTTTGCACTGATTATTTACCTTTCCACTTTAGTTTCCTTTCTTTTTAAACTCTAAATGACATTCTTAAAGAAGAACACAGCGGAATAGATGTATTTTAATCCTATATCTACCTAGTTCTGAGCTGAAAACACTGGAGAAGCAAGAACATAAACAAGAATTATGGTGAGGCCGTCTGTGTCCTACTGAAAGCACACTGAACTCTGGTCTTGCTCGGGAGCAGGGAGAGGACTGTAGAAAGGAATGAGAACTTGTGTTGCTTGATAAGGTCTCATAAGAATGTCTGAAATACCCCCACTCTTGGTTGAGAATTCCAATCTTGGAAGCTGTCTTTCTCAACCCTGCAAATTTGAGACATCTGCCTATCAAGTTTCCTTGTGGTTTATTGTGAATAAATTAATGGATGGATGGATGGATGAATCCACATCTTCTCCCACAGCATGTGCTCTCCTAGCTCCTCAGACACTAAACATCCAATGGGCATTTACTACACGTCCCACCAAGCTACCAGGTACAAGGGAAGGGAAGATGGATCGGCACCCTAACCAGGGGGCAGTTAGAACCCTGTGAACACATTCAATATAATGTGGAAAACTTGATGGCTGATGCACCCCAGCACCTCATAAAAGCAAGAAGAGCCTCAGGGAAAGGCTTCTGAAGGCGATGATGCCTCCTACACAGAGGATAAAAGGAGAGGAATTAGCTGGGTAGAACAGTGAGGAGAGAGCACACCAGGCATAGGAAGCGGTGTGCACAGAATGCCAGTCATGCAGGAGCACAGCAGGGCATGTGGGCAAGATGAAGCAATTGGTATTCCAGAGGGTGAAGGGCAAGGTGGGACAAGATGCAGCTGGTAAGGTAGCAGCTCAGATCAAGGGAAATCTGAGGTGGCACAGAGAAGCATGGACGTCTGGCCATGAGCCTCAGGAGAGCCCTGGGCCACCTGTGGGTTTCAGGTAAGTCTGGCAGTGGGGAAATGGGCTCAAGAGCCAGGGAGTAAAGTGAAGGAAAACCAAAAGAGGAAGGGACACGGGAACAGCGTGGTAGAAGAGGGATGACGGAGACTGCAGAAGGCAAGGGGAATGGGGGAGAGGCAGAAATATGGGGAGAAGGAGGCAAGGAGAAGAGAGAGAGACAGAGCCTTGGGGAAGAGAAAGAGGCCATCACTGTGGGTCTTTCTGGCTGACGACACCCATGCAACATATGACTTGCTGCTACTGGTTAAGAACTGGTGTTACTTTCTTTTTCAAACTTCAAAGTTTATTCTTGAAACCATATGGAGATTTGCACAAGTGTGAAGGTCCCAAATATTAGAAATTGACTTGAGAGGCGAAGTCCAATTTGCAGAGGAATCAGCTCATTCAATGGTGTAAAGTACTTGGTTTCCTCGTTACGGGTCTTTGAGAATGAGGGCTGCATCCTTGGCTCCCATGCTATGGGCACACCCGAGCTGAGGGGAGGGGCAGCACCCAGTGCCCACCATGGAGCAGTTAAGTGAGTGCAGGCACGGAACCCCCCCTCCCCCCAGTACGCACGTGCACATATTCCCCATGGGGACTGCAAGCCTTGCTCACTACCTCCCACAATAGCAAATGCTCCATAAATGTTTCCTGAATGAATTCTTTCTAGAGGCCATATGGCCATTAGGGACAAGTGAAGACAGAGCTACAGAGAAAGGAAATGACAAAATCTTGTTTGATTAAAACCGATGAATTATGACTCACTAGTGATCCTTCCGCTGGGTGAATGGACGCAGAGAATGCGTACTTTTGTTCGCTGGCAGTTTTGATGGAGTGGACTCGATATCTAGCTATGGTTCCGTGACAAGACAAATATTTACTTTAAATTAAAGCATCTACCTGTGTTACACACAGCATACAGTATGAAATATAAATTATTATATTAGGAGTATTTACCAGCTGAAAACTACTATTTTCCAATGTCTTCTATTGCTTTTGAACTTACAAGGTTAAAATCCTATAGAATATTCTATCAACAATGTCCTGTCCTGGCCTGTCCCATCTTGCAGAGGAAGCAGTTCCCTGGGACATGCTGAACTTGGCTTAACACAGACTAGGAGCTCAAAGAGTTGAAACACACTCTAGATGCATTGCACAACGCAAAGGAAATCTGTGCCAGAAGAACACATTTCCAAAGAGCACAACGTGAGCACGGGGTGGGAGTGGGGGTGTCTTGTGCCCCTGGGGGCACTGAGGCTCTCTCCTTTCTTTGTAACTGTCTATTCTTCTTCCAAGTAGGGAGGCCCTGGCTGCTAGGGATGAAAGAGAGGAAGGCAGAAGAAAACATGGGCTGCTTCAGGATACAAAAGAAAAGTTTCCCAAGAATCCAATTTTCTATGGGAAATATTTTTTAAAGGATTTTAAAAGATTATTTTCCAGTGGATCAGCCACAGACAGCAAGGACTCATCTCGCCTCTTTCCTAACATAAATCCACTTTGTCTTGGCAACCGCAGAAGATTAGTGCTTGAGTGACTGAGTATGTGCCGTAAGTCTTTCTAAGCTTCATCTTTTCCCCGATTACTTGCTTGAGCTATCGCTCATCTAGCAGCCATGAGGCTCCCCTCCTGCAGCCTCTTGCCACCCTAACAAAACTGGGGCCCAAAGTAGTGGCTTTGATTTGTTACATTCTACCAGGAATTAAGTCCCAGGATCCACCTGTTAAACACATCCCATGAAGCAAAGATTTAGAAGCTAATGTGTAATTTCGTTGTTCAGATAGGAGTTCTCCAATGGCACATGTTAAAATGGAGGGAAAAGTGAAGTGTAAACTAATTTAGCCTGATAACACTGGAGCTTCCTATGTCTACAAAGCAACCTCAATTTAGGGTTTGGCTGGAGATGTGATATTTGATGTCTCAGGGACCAGTGGGGTGAGGGTGGAGGGTGAGGGGACCGGGAGACACAGATTGTCAGCCAGTAGAGTATCAATTTACTCACAATACATATTCCTGAGCCATCCTGGCATCGATTTGAGTGTCCATTACAATTGCAGGGAACACATCGTCCGGTATATGCGCCTTTGCTATCCCGATAGTATCCGGGGCTACAACCCTGTTTTGCAAACAAAGCATTTAGTCAACATAAAGAAAGAATTATTATCCAAAGCATGTGACAATTCTGACTGTCAAGCATTCACTTTCTTTAAAAAATTTTTTTAAAACATTTATTCAGTTTTGAGAGACAGATTGTGAATGGGAGACGGGCAGAGAGAGAGGGAGACACAGAATCCTAAGCTGTTAGCACAGAGCCTGATGTGGGGCTCGAACTCACAGACCATGGGATCATGACCTGAGCTGAAGTTGGACACTTAACCAACTGAGCCACCCAGGTGCCCCAAACATTCAACTTCTAAAATCTTTTTCTCCTTTAGTTGGTATGTGGATTTCTACTTTCAAACACTAGCCGGTCCACTGGCTCCCTTTGTCAGGTTCTACCTTCTTTCCACAGCACGGCAGGAGTGTGTGCTTGTGGCAGAGTGGGAGATGTTTTGGGGGACATCAGAGAAAAGGAAGGTGTGGAGAGAGGAATGTAGAAATGGCTTCCTCTTCTTCAACTGTTTTAGGGGGAGTGAAAGGGTGAAGGAGTGAAGGGGTAAAGAGGGTCAGGACATCAGTCTTTGGTGGGGAAAGTCTCTAAGAAAATCCCTTCAAGTCCAAGTGCTCTTTGGGCAGGCATTCCCTCTCTGAGCATGGGTTTGGACTGGCGGGGTAGGCAGTATAGGATGAAGGGTGACTAAGAAGTCTTCATCAGGATCTATGCCATAATGGCAGAATGGGGGGAACCAAGTCACTGCCACTCACTGGTCTGTAAGCAACAGGGAACTCAGGGGAGAAGACTGTGCTTGGGTTCTCTACAGAACCCCGCAGGGATGTTCGGCTCCAATGGAACACACAAAGACCCAGCTGGAGGGAATCTCACTGGGTGTGTTCTTCTTGTTTCGTATTGCTTTGGCCATTTCCATCTCTAGCACAATGTCTCTTTCCAGTGTAATAAGAGTTTTTATTTTTCACATGAATATATATACATGTGTATTTTTTTAAAGGATTCTAGTTGGGGTGCCTGGGTGCCTCAGTTGGTTAAGTGTCCGACTTTGGCTCAGATCACAATGTTGCAGTTCATGAGTTCGAGCCCCGTACTGGATTCTGTGCTGACAGCTCAGAGCCTGAAGCCTCCTTCAGATCCTGTGTCTCCCTCTCTCTCTACCCCTCCCTTACCCGCATGCTGTCTCTCTCTCTCCAAAATAAATAAACATTTTAAAATAAATAATTAATTAATTTAAAAAAGATTCTAGTTAAGAATGCCCCTAATAGAAAAAGAAGCAATTCTTCTGACACCAGCCATTAAAAATTACTTAGAGGGGCACCTGGGTGGCTCAGTCGGTTGAGCGTCCGACTTTGGCTTGGGTCATGATCTCACAGTTCGTGGGTTTGGGCCCTGCGTCGGGCCCTGTGCTGATAGCCAGCTCAGAGCCTGGAGCCTGCTTCGGATTCTGTGTCTTCCTCTCTCTCTGACCCTCCCCTGCTCACACTGTTTCTCTCTCTCTCAGAAATAAATAAAATATTAAAAAATTATTTAGATTTCTGTCTTTAAAGAGAATCATAGACATTTTGTTTATTTTGGCAGAGCAAATCAGTACACTGTGTCAAACCAAATGCTGTCTCCGGTTTCTTTAACCAACGTCCATATATGCCCTATCTAAAGCATCAGGAAAGAATAATATTTCAAGATAAAAGATCATCTTTCATCTAATTCTCTTTAAACAGCACTAGGTTTATAAGACTCCAAAGCTACGAACAAGGGAAACTGTAAAATGAACCACCCATTCTCATCCATCGGCAGCCATACAGGGCTCTACCTGATCAGGTGGGAAAGAAGAAGCCAACCTTATAGAGCTGGAGAAAGAAGCCTTGTGTACTCCCCAGGGCAGAACAGCCCAGTTTCTGATAGGAATTTCTTCCAAAATTACCAATTACTACACCCTGGACACAATAACAAGACTATAATTCCCAATATATTTTCCTCTTCAGCTATTAGAAACCGTATTTTCCCCTTTTGCTATTAGGCAAAAGGAGCTATTGCAAAAAATGAGATCGCTTTATGTGTTATATGAATAGGCTTGTCTACAGGAGAATCGAAGTATGAAAGGAATGTTCTTTAATTGAAAACACGACTGAGAGATACATTTGAACAAAATTCAGCCACTGGTGGTGTGATCATATCTACAAGCAAATACTCTCTACTACTAAGTGGCAAGCGTCTCTTAATTATCCCCACATATCATGTTACATGCTTATGAAACAATCAGATTTGGTAAAGAACAAATTATCCAAATAAATATATGTGGTTCATTTATGACAACATGCCTGAGTAAAAATGCCTTAATTAAACACATTTGGCAGGAGGACACTTCATTCTAATTAAACCACCACCTTAATTTGCTTTTGATTAGAAACAGGGAAAAAAATCCCCTACAAGTCACATGACTTCTACTCAGGCAGAATGTTTGCCAGTTACTGAAATATAATCATTTTCTCACCTCTACAGAGCACACAAACTCCACACACTCTTACACACAACTCAGTTCAAGTACTCAGACTGTACTGAATATATTTTGTAGTACAAGTGATAAAACAATGTCCCATCAGATTTTCAGGGCTATTTCGGCAGCCATAGGATCAATTTCTCTGTGAGCATACATGTAAAAATCCAGAAATTTTAGAGAGAGACAGAGAGAGGTTGGGGGGGGAAGAAAGCAGACTTTATGAGTATATAATGCCTGGTAAATGGAAGCATCTCTTGTTAGGTAATATAAAAACTCAGTCTCATCACTCTTCTTAAACATGGATGTCATTGATTTTTGTGGTTTACGTTATGGGTAAATTTTCTTCCAAGCAGAGTTTGGAGGTCTACAGGCACTGGACTCTTTTGTCTTGGGGCTTGAGTTACTCTCAAAAGGGCACAAAGTTTCATAGTGTACTAACATCCCACAAACATGCAAACTCTGAGCTGTCTGGGCATTTCCAGGTGGGCTGATGTTTATACGGTTTGTGGTTAACAGCTCAGGGGAGCAATCTGTCAGGCACCATAATAAACCCTGCCAGTCAACGGGACAGGGAGGCTCCGGGCCCCTCCCCCAGCCCACCCATTATTCATTCATCCCCTTAACTGAAAAAATGTCATAAAGCTAGGAATCCTTCCCCAGCCCAAACCAAAATTTAAAAAGGATGTTACCTGGCTGGGTTTAAACTCCACATGACTTGCTTGCAGATGACTTTGACCCGGAGGCTGAAGAAATGCTACCCTTTGCTGCTGCGAATTATATCCCAGACACTGCCCCACCACTGCCCCAAGGACCCACAGCCATCCAGCGCTGCAGGCTGACCAGCTCACTGCGGGGGGCATCCTGATCCCCTGGCGTCCTGCTGGCTGCGTGCAAACTTCTTCCTCTTCCTCTTATACCTGCCCTTCCTGCTTCAGTGCCCAGGCCCGCCTGACTCAGGTAAGGCAGGCTGTCTGCGGCAGGAGGCCCCACCTGTAAACTTCACCCGTGAGTCAGCCGGTGAGAGAGCGCACATAACAGTCCCACAGGGAAGAATGCCGCTCTGTAATTCCTGCGAGGCGGGGTAGGCATCACCTTCTGCCCACCTTACCCTGCAGACGGCACTAGCTGATTAGAGCACATGGAAATCACAGGCTGAGTCATGTGAAAAGAACACGCCCTGGGCAGGAGGCCGGTAATCCAGAGGTTCCCCTCCTTCCCTGGGGCTATGATTTTATTTAATCGGGCTAGAACAGAGAGAGGAGGAAGGGGGTAGGGAAGAAGAATGTTGGCACCGGTGGACTAAATGTTACAAGGCAGAAGTCCCCACGGGGCACCTGAGTGGCCCTGTTGGTTAAGCGTCCGACTTTGGCTCAGGTCATGATCTCCCCAGAAAACCTTGACAGGTAATATATTTGCAAGTTAAAGAAAGAAACTTGTGAGCAGATCACCTGGGGGCTTTCTGAGACCACGGGGGCCGGGACAGAAAGGGGAGTATATTGCTAGATGTACATACAGGGGGTGGAGGGAATACACTGAGTGATAATGTTTGCTATTTCCTAATAATTGCACTTAAACATTGTGCTTTCTTTTCCTCCCATCAGGAAGAGAACCTATTTACAACTTGAGATATGACATGGTTTCATTTTATGGCACATTTTAATCATCTGAGGACAAGTCACGCTGGCTTGGCCTGGCAGGAAGATCTGCTGTGAACTTGGATAATGGGCTGCCACTTCCCCCGGAAGAATCAGGACACTGTCTGGAGGGGCCCTCCACTAGGGAATAGCACAAGAACCCTAGGTCACCCACTGGGAAGGGAGTGGCTCAAATACCAGGATGCCCACTGGTGGGCTCCTTCCTACTTCCCAGAAAGTCCTGATTTCTATAACCCCCAGGATTGACTGAGTGCCTGTGGCTTTCTGGTGGAATTTGAAATGTCTGCGATTTCTTTTTCCTATTTCATACCTGAAGGTGGTCCAGGTAAGACAGAAGCTATAGCCCAGGAAACACCTGTCCAATGGACAGAGTGCTTCAGACCATCCAGCAGGGTGGGGGGAAACAGATAGGAGAGGCAGCCACAAGAGTCCTAGGGGGAATTTTTTCCTACCTGACATGAGTCACCAGTGTAGCCAGGGGGGCAGGCACACATCTCCACATCGTGTGCTCTACGCCCGCTTCCTGTGGCGGAGGCCTCCTCCAGTCCCACCCCGCTCAAGGAGAGCCGCTGCGTCTCGGCGAAGTAGAGGCCTCGGAGGCGCACACCTTCTAGTCTAGACAGTACCATCATCAGCTCTTCCCGGGACACGGGGGCACCGCTGCTGGCGTGTCTGAAGTTTCCCTACACGTGAGAACAGAAAAGCAAGGTTTCCCTTTGGCAAGCTCACTTCCAGGGCTTTCAGAGAGGCGGCGTCCAGCACAAGTCAAAGGAAAGGCATTTACAATGCAGATGGGAAAATGCAGGAGAGGAGAGGAGAGGGGAGAGGAGGGGAGGGGAGGAGAGGAAAGGAAAGGAAAGGAAAGGAAAGGAAAGGAAAGGAAAGGAAAGGAAAGGAAAGGAAAGGAAAGGGTAGGTAAAAGTTAGTATAAGATAGTGGATTTATATTCAGAAGTCAGGTGTCCTGGGTTATTCCCAAGAAGAGAGAATACCACATGAAAGGGGAAAAAATGAAGGCAGGAAATAAGGAACAATGAAATGAAAGATTTCCCAGTGTCATATTTATTTTAAAATGTACTTTTGGGGTGTGGCTCAACTGGTTGAACGTCTCTCTTTTTTAAACTTTTCTTTTTTTAAAGCTTATTTATTTATTTTGAGAGAGAGAGAGCAAGGGAGGGACAGAGAGTGAGAGAGGGACAGAATCCCAAGCAGGCTCCTTACTGTCAGCGTGGAGACAGGCAGGACTCGATTTCAGGAACCGTGAGATCATGACTTGAGCCAAACTCAAGAGTCAGACACTTAGCAGACTGAGCCACCCAGGCGCTGCAGTGTCTGACTCTTGATGGCTCAGGTTGTGATCCCAGGATTTTGGGATTGAGCCCCCACCTTGGGCTCCATGTTGTACATGGAGCCTGCTTAAGATTCTGTCTCTCTCTTGCCCTCTCTTTCTCCCTCCGCTTCTCTTCCTCTGTTCCTCTCACCAACTATCTCTGTCTCTCAAATAAATAAATAAATAAATAAATAAATAAATAAATATTTTAGAAATGCATTTTTGTGTGTGCAAGCCCAAAATGAATGAGAATGATATAGGAGAGAGGGTTATGGAAACCCACTGAGTCATGCAGTTAGATCTCTTTTAGATCTTTTTAGATCATTCATTAAATGTACATAATTGGGACAGAAAGTACAATCTTTTCTTGCACACACACATTTATATTATTTTATTTTACTTTAATGATGGTAAAAGACATGTTACATAACATTTACCATCTCAACCATTTTTTAGTGTACAGTATAATAGCGTTAATTATATTCCCATTGTTGTGCAACAGACTCCAGAACTTTATCATCTTGCAAAATGGAAACTCTGTACCTATTAGGCAATAGCTTCCATTTTCTCCTCCCCCCCAATTCCTGAAAACCACCATTCTACTTTCTAATGGTATGAATTTGACTACTTTAAATACCTCATATAAGTGGAATCCCGCAGTATTTGTCTTTTTGTGACTGGCTTATCCCACTTAGCATAGTATCTTCACATTACATCCTAGCAATCTAGGATCTTCACATCTATTCTAGTTCAATCTAGCTAGAACTATCACATTCTAGCACAGAAGGATTTCCTTTTTAGGGCTACATAATAGTCCATCATATGAATACATGATATTTTCTCTATCCGTTCGTCTGTCCACAGACATTCCAGTTGCTTCCACCTTTTACCTATTGTGAATAGTGCTGAAATGAACATGGGTATGTGAATAGCTCTTCAAAACCCAGTTTTCAATTCTTTGGGGTATATCCTCAGAAGTGGGATTGCTGGATCACATGGTCATTCCATCTTTAAATTTTTAAAAAATCTCAATACTGTTTTCCACAGTGACTGCACTGTTTTATAGTCCCACCAGCAGCGCATATGTGTTCCAATTTCTGTACATCCTCGCCAACACTTGGTATTCTGTTTTTTTTAAATAGTAGCCATCCTAATGACTATGAGGTGGTATCTCATTGGTTTTGATTTGCATTTCTTTACAGATTAGTTACGTTGAGTATCTTTCATGTAAAAGCCTGCACTTTAAAGAGAACATTTTTTTAATGTTTCTTTATTTTTCAGAGAGAGAAAGACAGAGTGCGAGCAGTGGAGGGGCAGAGAGAGAGGGAGACACAGAACTGGAAATGGGCTCCAGGTTCCAGGCTGTCAGCACAGAGCCCCACGTGGGGCTTGGACTCATGAATTGTGAGATCATGACCTGAGCCGAAGTCGGAAGCTTAACCGACTGAGCCACCCAGTTGCCCCTAAAAGACTGCACTTTTAACCTTTATATTCTGTTGCCTCCTTAAAATTTGGTTTCCATATGTCTTAAATGGGCATAATCATACCTAATCTCTCAGGACTATGATGAGAATTAAAGCAAATTAAATAATATAATGTATATAAAGTGTTTAGCCCAGTGCCCAACATGTAGTAGACATTCAGTAAAGGGTATTTATTATTATTTACACATAAATGTGATACTAATGTAATTTTAATTTATTTCTTTATTAAAAAATTTTTTTATGTTGATTTATTTCTGGGAGAGAGAGAGAGAAACAGATTGTGAGTCGGGGAGGAGCAGAGAAAGACGGAGACACGGAATTTGAAGCAGGCCCCAGGCTCTGAGCTGTCAGCACAGGGTCTGATGCAGGGCTTCAACTCAAACTGGGAGATCATGACTTGAGTCAAAGTCAGCCACTTGCCCAACTGAGCCACCCAGGCGCTCCTCTAATTTTAGTTTATATTTTTAACAGCTTGAGGTATGATTTGCATATAGTTATATTCCCTTATTTTAAGCATACAAGTTTTAGTAAATTTACATAAACATGCAACCATCACCACAATGTAGTTTTACATTTTCATCCCCCTCCCCAAAAAAGAACCCTTGTGCCCATTTGTAGTTACTGCCTATTCCCATCCCAAGCCCCAGGCAACTGCTAATCTATATTCTGTCTCTATAGACTTATCCAGGTTGGAACATTTATATATATACAAATTTAGGGGTGCCTGGGTGGCAGTTGGGCATCTGACCCTTGGTTTCAGCTTGGGTCATGATCTCATGATTCATGAGTTCTGCGCTGCTGGTGCAGAAACTGCTTGGGATTCTCTCTACCCCCCTCTCTCTGCCTCTCCCCCACTCGTGCTCGCTCTCTCCCTCTCTCTCTCAAAATAAATTAAAAAAAAAGACATTTAAAAATAAATAAATGCAAACTTTATTTCAACAGTACACAAATACGTTTCTTCTATTCATTTCATTTCTTCCCCTTTTTTGTCATATACATTGTCTTTATACATTGTATATATATATATACACATTACGTCTTTATACATTGTATGCCGATCAACACAGATTTATAATTACTGCTTTAAATAGTTGTCTTTTAAATTAGATAGAAGAGCTATAAAGATATATTTTTACTGCCTTTCATATTTACCTATGTAGTTACTTTTACTATCGTTCTTCATTTCTAACAGGGAGGGAAGTTATTGTCTATAGTATCCTTTCATTTCTGTCTTAAGATTCCCATTAGTATTTTTTATAAGGAGGGCTGGTTAGCACTGAATTCTCTCAGCTTTGTTTATAATGGAATGTCTTCATTTCTCCTCTGTTTTTGAAGGACAGCTTGCTGGATATGTATTCTTTGTTGCCAGTCTGTTTCCTTTAGCACTTTGACCGCTGTCCCACTGCCTTCTGACTTCTACGGTTTGTGGTAAATAGTTAGGTGTTAACCTTATTGAGGGCCCTTGTATGTCATGGGCTTCTTTCCCATTGCTGTTAAGATTCTTTGTCAGGGCGCCTGGGTGGCTCAGTAGGTTAAGTGTCCAACTTTGGCTCAGGTCATGATCTTACGGTCTGTGAGTTCGAGCCCTGCATCAGGTTCTATGCAGGCAGCTCAGAGCCTGGAGCCTGTTTCAGATTCTGTGTCTCCCTCTCTCTCTGCCCCTCCCCCGCTCATGCTGTCTCTCTCTGTTTCAAAAATAAATAAAAACTATAAAAAATTTATTTAAAAAAAGATTTTTTGTCTTTGCCTTTCAGAATCTTTACTATGATGTTTCTGTGTGTGGATCTCTTGCATTTATCCTACATAGAGTTTGATGAGCTAGGATGTTTATGTAGATTAAGGGTGTTTATCAAATCTGAGAAGTCTTGCAGCCATTATTTCTTTAAATACTGTTTCTTTCCCTTTCTCTCTCTTCTCTTTCTGGTACTTCAATTATTCACATGTTGGTATATTTGATCGTGTCTCCTTTGTCTTTGAGAGTCTGTTTGTTTTTCCTCATTCTTTTTACTTTCTGTTTCTCAGACTGGGTAATCTCAACTGACCTTCAAATTTGCTGATCCTTCCTTCTGTGTACTCAACTCTGTTGTTGAGCCCTTGTCTTGGTCAGCTCTGGCTGCCATAACAGAATACCATAGACCAAATGACTTAAACAACAGAAATCTATTTTCTCACAGTTCTAGAGGCTAGAAGTCCCAGATCAAGATTGCCAGCCAGTTTGACCCCTGGTGAGGGCTCTCTTACTAGCTTACACATGGTTGCCTTCTCACTATGTTCTTACATGGTAGACAGAGAGAGTGAGTTTTCTGGTATCTCCTTTTATAAGGGCATTGATTCTATCAGATCACAGCTCTACCCTTATGATCTTATTTAACCTTAATTACTTCTTTACTCCAAATACACTCAAACTAGAGGTCAGGGCTTCAACACATAAATTTGGACAGAACGCAATCCAGTCCACAGCAGCCCTTCTAGTGAATTCTTCATTTCCAGATATTGTAATTTTCAACTCTAGAATTTCTATTTGGTTCTTTTTTTTTTTTTTTTTTTTTTTTT